CAACCTACATATGCCTTTACTAAGCAGTCTTTTGACTCACCTTTCCATCATCTGTCAGCGAGGTATATCTATCTTACATTGTATTACCGATTGAGACCATTAAGGAACTTAAGCAGTTGCTCCACTATCGGATTCGTTTGCATGGACTTTTCTTTGGATGTCAGCGATAAAGGAGATGCATTCTCTTGATCGTGGTTTAGCTTTTAGCTCTATTGGCCGTTGAATGGTTGAGGTTAATGTCATCTAGGCGATCGAACGACAACTCAGCCGCGTGGAATTGTATGTACTACTGCGAGGCTTCGTTAGAGTGAATAGTTTTAGGGTTTTGAGAAAACGTAGAGGACGGTGCAGCACCTCCACTTCTCTCTACCAATCTACGCTACAGTAAAAGTCCTCACTTGAGCTCGTGGATTTTTATTCGTCCTGCAAGAATACCACATCCCTGTTATTAACCCGATCCGGTAGTTCCACATTTTTCTCATGGAGCAGTTACTCGCATGCATCTTCAAGTTGTATTCCATCTGGGCGGTAGGTATACATGCACACGAAGTATTCCTAAATCTACCAGAGTTAAAATCAATGTGTTCTTCGGAATACGGAAAGGATCGTCTGGAGGCAGTCACTGGCAAAGTCGTTCAATTAACAAACGCTGCACCACAATGGCCATCGGCCAGTCAGTCAGCAAATATTCCAGCGGTGAACAAACTGGAGCTCTTCGAAGCCTATGGCCTTCCACCTGTTGTTAGCATACGACACGAGTAGTCATACTCAGCAGCTTCCACCGATTTCATCTTTTAATTAACAGGGTGTAATTAACTGTTTTAGCAATCCATACCCGACTTCTCTTAACTATACACAGAAAGATCACCTCCTTCCACTCCATAAAAGTTATACTGCTTTACAACCGGGCAAAACCCACTTTGAGAAGCTTCGAAACTGAGATAAAAACGATTGAGTGACAGAGAATCTTAGACCACCTTCACCATGTTCAATCGCATTTTGTGCCGCGAGGGTTAGAAAGAAGAGTAAGGTGGAGGTAGTAGGTCACAGCTTAACAAATCCCGGACATCCACGCATTGCTCCAAGAAATGACAAATCTCTTCAAACGTACTGTAGAGATTAGGCGCAGCAGAACGTCTCGAGCGTGTTCTAACGCTAGCGCAATCAAATAAACCAGATCTCAAAGGACAAAAAACCCGTATGCCTAGACATAATTCGCATCGATGATTGACAAATTTCGGTCTGGGTTGTCTAAATGAAATCACATACACCTTTTCGATTGGACCGCAACAGTACAGGAGGAAACAGCCCAGCTTTATTGTACTTAACAGACCATTATGAGAGATTGTTAGGATACAAAAGAGCCGGGAGACCACAGGCACACCTGGGAAGTCATCTCATCAAGGTGGAGATGGAAACTACAGAGACCTAATAACCCATGCGGTCAAATGCGCGCCCAAAGCATTGACACAGTGGCGAGCGAAACGCACTAACGATGGAACGTCTTTTAGCCAACAAAGTTACATGTACCCTGATGGTTCTAAAAAAACACAAGACTACGCCCCGCAGCTTCTAATGTTTAGGCGACACCAATCCATCCGAAAACAATCCTTTTTAAAAAAGCGGTACCCAGTTCAGTTTACCCTCACTTAGAATGCGCAAAGCCAGTTCCATTCTGAAACATGGAAAGTAACATGGAGCGGGCGAGATGTGGAGACGCCACGCCATGGTCGATAAACCGAATTTTCTCGAAATAGTCGGCTAAAATGACATCACCACAGTTCAATCTAGAAAGACGCGAGGTTAGGAAACACAATGCTGCCCCTACACACTAGACTTATTTGTGACACATGCAAACGATAACTAAGGCGTAAATACAAAGATTTAAAAGGGCAGACGGTCTTCAGCTTGACATGATTACATGCTGCCACATGGACAAAGACACGAAAGGACATGAAAAAGGGAGAGGGGGAAACGAAATGGGAGGGTACTGACGGCATTCGATTGGTCGGCTACCTAGACGACAGCAGTGAGACGCGTGCGGCCCATGTTAAGTTGCCAGACATTGAGGTTCTCATAGGCGTCAACCACCTCGTTGACCTGCGCAGGGGTGAAGCCCTTCGTGGCGCAGCGCTCCATCACGTCGGCAAGGCGGGTGGTGCCATCACCAGCAGAGAGCAGCTCGCGAACCACTTGGTAGATGAGATCCTTATAAGATGCCGGACTGTAAGTGCAGACAAGAGAAGAGTTCTATCAAGTGTTTGCCGAGGACGTACAAATATCTGCTGTCATTGAAACTCCCAGTTTTCTCAGTGGAGAGCCTACTTCACATTTTGGTTTACTGCCTCGAGGGCAATTGATCCTTTCGGAAAGTGATAACTATAGGTTTACCAAGTATAAAATGTCTTATCGAGAAAAACCAGTACTACTATTCTTTGTTAAGGGTGACAGGTGAAGGGCCAAGACTGCTTGGTGACCAGAGAGCGTCAATTCCCACTGTGTAATCGCAAACGAATTTCAAAAATTAGACGATTCCAAACATCATGTTAAGCCAAGACTGAGTTGCGCCAATGCAATGAGATACAAATTCATCGTGAATCCTACAATTGAATCCAGACCACCACTTGATGCTAAGTCAATGAAAAACAGATTTAACAAAAAATAACTTCAAATAAGACTGAGACACGTTACGTACCGGCTACGATCATGGGGTCCACCCGGAGGGTTGTGTACCGAGGCACGACTGGCCTCCATCAGCCGCATGGCTTCGTCCACATCCGACTTTGTGACCTCGGAAGCGGCACGGAGTCGAGCACGGGCCGTGGAGAGACGAAGGATGGCAAGGAGAGTGCGTGCGCTAGTGTAGGTCATCTCCCGGTTGACCCGAGTCTCTTTCCGCATCTCCACATAAGCGCCCACCAGATAGTCGGCGAGGTGAGCGGGCACAGTGGGAGTAGGCTGGGCGCGAGCCACCGTGATCAGTCGGCGCAGTTCGACCAAGGAGAGGATACGACCGGTGCTGCTGCTGTCACCGCCACCACCTATTGTGTCGGTGATAGTGGGCGCAGAACCGTGTGAGTGAACGTAGGTGATATGCTGCGCCAGACGCATGTCGTTTTCTCTAAAAAGTGAGACACTGCTGAATAAGAAGCAAATATGGCTGAAAACTACTCTCCGCGCCTCAGCCTGCAAAGTATACTACTGACCAGAAAATGGGTAGGCAATACGCAAACTACGCAGTGTTACGAAAGAGAGGGTTAAATGTGTCAAGCGTCCATTTCTCCAAGGACGACGATAGGACAATTTACTCATTCGGGGTGAGTGTGAGGGAGCACGGCGAATAAGCTGGATAAAGAAATATCGAGTGGATCTAGGGGCGAGAATAGGCCCCCTTGGTCAAAAAACCTCGGGCTGCTTGACAAACCTCACCGTAAGCCCTGAATCCTACCATGACACTGAGGCGAATAAGTACATGAACCAATGCAGTGAAAAATATGAGCTTAAATCAAAGTAGATCATTAACAAAAAAAACGAGGGTCGCAACTCGCTCTTGAATGGCAAATCCCGAAGCAACGAAAAATACTACAAACCGGAAGATCAGTAAGGTTAAAGCTTGTAAGTTTCAAGCAACCATTTTTGCGCTTACATATCAATCGTGTCAGAAGTGCTGGGAATTTCACTAGCAACAGATAAACATCGACAATAGGTAGCAGAAGCAATAGAAATCCTCCTACCTGTCGGGGCGATCCTGAATGAGCCAGAGGAGGTCAAATCGGGAGAGAAGCGCAGCAGGTAGATCGATGTTCTGCTCAACAGAGCGGTGTGGATTGTATCGACCGTAGGCAGGGTTAGCTGCGGCCAGCAACGCCACACGTGCGTTCAATGTAGTGAGGATGCCTGCCTTTGCGATGCTGATGGTCTGCTGCTCCATGACCTCGTGGATGGCCGTACTGAAAAGTGAGCACTGGAGGTAATCTATGCCACCGTTCCCTCACATTAACACTTTCGGTCAGTGATCAACATCCACCCACCGGTCGAAATCAGCCATCTTGTCGAACTCGTCGATGCAACACACCCCCTGGTCGGATAGAACTAGCGCTCCGCCTTCAAGCGTCATCTCCCCCGTAAAGGGATCTTTTGTAACAGCGGCGGTCAGACCAACACCGGAGCTACCACGGCCGGTGGTGTATTGGGAGCGGGGACTGAGACGGTTAACAAAACTCAGGAGCTGTGATTTGGCAACACCTGGATCTCCCATCAAGCAGATATTAAGGTTGCCACGGATCCTAAGACCCGCCTGAGGACGAATCTCTACACCACCAACGAGGAGAAGGAGAAGGGCCTTCTTTACGTCCTCATGACCGTAGATTTCGGGGGCAAGGGACTGCGCCATGAGATTATACATGTCAGGGTCCGAGAGACGCTCAACTTCCTCCGCCGTAGGCTCCACGTCGAGATTGGGCTCGGATTCGCTCAGTAAAGTAATGGAATGAGCTTCCAGGAAAGTGTCAGCAAGAAGAACACCAGTAGCGCCTGCCATGGCAGCGACAGCCCTTCCCCCAACTGTCCCACGAGCGGAAGGCAAGAAAACACCCGTAACCAGAACGTGGTCGCCTGGCTGCGCAAGACGAGTGTTCTCCCCGTAAGCGTAGACGGTGAGACCACGGGGAATGTTACCGACAGGAACCTAAGTTTGGGAAAAATTCGTTAGACTGGCGTCATTTCTAGTCAATAAAAGCATCCAAGTTTACCATACCTGGTCTGAAAGCTCCTGAATACGGAGTTCCTGGAACTTTTGGAACTTAGAACCGCGAGTTTGCAGTTGAAGTTGACCTGCACTACCCGCCCCGGCTCCTCTACAAGCGGCAGTTTGGCACAAAATCAAAGGCATGAAGGTGGGACTTGTGATTTCCTAAAGAGACAAAAAAAGCGAATGAAGACGAATTTGCTGTCCATATATACGAAATAAACGGGATTCCTCACCTGGTAAGTTTCGGCACCGCACCGGTCGCAAGTGTAGGTGGCAACACGCAGAAGAGGTTTGACTTCAGTTGTACGCGAAACGACTCCACGAACCTGGATCAGGTGACCGATACTGGATGCCAGGACTTTTCGGACACTCATGGGTTTAAAGTGAGAGCGAGCCGTGAAATAGACCTCACTAAAAAATACATAGCTTACCCATCAACCCGCACTTGAGATTAATGAAGACATTAACAAGTCGAAACTCACTAGCGCCTTAAAAGTTCCGGGGGGAACTTAACCCTTATCTCGCGCATATCAACGCCGGATGATTGGGCGTTTTGTTGGCCCCCGGGACCGGGTTCAATTCCCGCATCAGCCAGATGCAACCTTTGTTCCATTCGTATTCTATGGTCGATATAGATGTCCAACACATCACGAATTTGAGACTAAATAAAGGATCGCTTTAAAACTTAAGATTCTATCCTACATCACCCTCACGAAAATCGGGAAGGAGATCATCAATTGCCTCAGCAAAGAGCTTCTGGAATCGAACAGTATTAAGTTCCACTGCGGTTGTTAAATCCTCATTGACATCCCACAGATCGTCCAGAGAGATGCGTATGACATTTTGGTTCCGATTGGCAATTTTATGCTGAAAGAAGATCAAATAAGGTGAACCCTACCAGCTGCTCCAAATAAGGGAAATGTTTTTTGCCGTCAGCTTCAGCCTTAAAAAACTCCTTTAAGAAACCCTGAATTTCCTTCCTGTCAGCGTCATAGTCCCGAAAACGCACCCGGGCCATTTCAGCAGATATAAATACTCGAAAGCAGCTCTCCTACCAAAATAACCCTTCTTTTGAACACTTAAACAACTTTTTTAAAAAATAGTTCGCGTCCGATAGTTCTGATAAATTAAGTTATTGTGAAGCCTTTTGTTTGCAATAAATACCAATAGGTGATTTTTTAATTGTCTAAGATGCAAACTTATAAAAAGGTGCAAATAAACTAAACTGTTTGCTACAACCTATAGACAAAATAACAAAGAAGTTTTTACAGGTAATAGATTATTCATAGATTTTTGTCATGCATTGCAAGGCCTCAGTATTTTGTTTAGTTACGCGTCCCATTACGCGGTCACTTAAACCTTAGCGGGTTGCACTTCCGCTCGCTGTCATGTCCTCCGGGTTATGGGGCGACCTCTCGGCTTTCCTGTATGTCAGTAATCCATTTCTTGCCATAGTATTACGGCTTCTTACAATTCTAGGGAAGACTCGGGGCACCACAGTATTTGCTAGCGGTCACTTTCGTGCTTGACCACTACGCGATATGCGTATATTTCTGTAGTGGACGGGTGGTTGGTTCAGGACTACCTTAGGATGCAAATCTTCCTGTTTGTTAATGCGCGACAATCAAACCATTATATTTAACTAAGTTTGTACAGTACTCAGGTTGTATGCCCACAGACAATCTTTTGGCCGAGTTATTTTATGACAAGGGATAAATTTGATAAGTTGCTCAGCGGTAGCTGATTGTTAACATGGCATCACGGGTCTCCCCATTGTCGTACCATGTCGACGCGCACTGAAAAGACGTACGCTGCCAGCGTACATGAAAGATTGGAGGTCACTGTTGCGCCCTGAGTCTTTCCTTGAAGTTGTCAGAAGTCATAGTACTATGGCAGAAAACGTATTATTGGTGTGCAGAAGGGCTGCGAGGCTACTAGCATGTCTTGGAGGTCATGTCGGTGAGCGAAAGCACAATTCGCGGGGACTAAAGCGGCCGCGTAACCAAATGCAGCGTTAAGCAAAGCACCAAGGCATTAAAGTCACTAGCATGACTCCAAGGCTATGATGCAGAGCGGAAACGCGACCAGTGAGGACTCGGGCGCTCGTACTGTTCGGTGATGCGTATTTGTTTGAGTGTGCTCTTCAGGTTAGAAGCCGACAGGCACGTGACTGAGCAGGCGTCCTTGACCCCCTTTGAACGTTAATTGCCTGTACGCACTCACCATACCCATCAAATAAAAGGTGCTTCTAACCAATATTCTCATTCCATGGGTATGAAAGTGGGAATTGAGTTAGGAAACGCTGAACCTAGTGGCTGCGCTGGCGGGGTTTCCACTCGTGGACGCTACATTTATTCCTTGCTCTCACTCTCGATAGCAAGGGGAGTTGCAGGTCCTCCGCGCCCTCCCCCGGGACCCATGCTAGGTCACCGTAAAGGTCGACATTTGCCCCGTACATCGGGTTTGGACGATGACGCATTACTTTGCCTCAACTCGTCTTTGGTCCGTAAGGGCGGATACTAACCAGGAAGCTCTTTCAACGCGACTCAGGCCGGTGTTCAGCACACGAATGAACCATAACAATTGGCAGGGTAACCCTTGTATGGCATACTTCCAGTGTTGAGGGATGGATAACCGTCCGGGGTTGACACAGAGTTAGCCCACGCGTTTTAGCCAGGAGGGACAGTGGCATGGCTACTAGCTCCCCACCTGACTGGTAAAGCTCGCATTGGGAAAGTGTCAGGTCCTGGCTACGGCCTTGTGTAACAATTGCAACGGTCGATCCGGCTCGATGCCCTCGTACTGAGGCTCTTTGCATTCATTGCATCCCAGCTAGGCAGGCCCTCCTTTTCCCTATCCTCCCAGCTTCCAAACGGTTCTCATTTATTCCTGCAAGCTTCAGACGAATTGGAGGAACGCTCATGTAATTTCCTCACTGACTCTGGATCGGCCAGATCAATACCAAGTCTCAGGGCTTTCCCACCGCTTCACCAAAGAATCAGGATTGTTTCCGCGTCTGAGTGACTACGATCGGCAAAGGAGAGACAATAGTGAAAGGAGAAACACTGTAATATGTTAACGTAGACAAAGAAGCTTGGGAATTTAGTATGGAGTATAATTCTTGACGTCCAGTTTTTACGTAGTACCGAAGGCGTCCTAAATCTTGTGGAAGATGCCTTCTTTACCCATGAAATGACTACAGATACAGCAGTCCTTTTGTCACCGAAAAAATATCGGTTACATTTGCATTGCCCCCTCCGAACCTGCAGCACTACTTATGAGTAACTCAGACAACCTCCGTGCTTGGCTTATCAATGTCACCAACGATGCAAATAAAAAACTGTGGCAGTTGCTGGCTAATTGCACGCATATATTTGCATGCCGAAGTGTTACGCTGGGAAGAACAGGCATCGTAAGATGTGCGATAGACACCGACGAGGCCAGACCCATCTGCCAGCCACTCAGACACATACCAGCTCCATTGCCAGAAGTTGGGCGTTTTTTTGAAGAGGCGGTCAGAAACGAAGTCATGGAACCATTGAAATTGCCATGGGTCGCACTAATTGCTCTGGCAGAAACGGACGGAAACTGCCGGCTGTGTCGAATAAAGAAAGCTGAACTTACTAGTAAAGAGGAATGCCTTCCCATTACTCTACATCAATGATTCGTTAAACGCTTTACGCGGGTAGACAAGGGAAGACAACCTCCATACTACCACACGGGCTTAATGATTTCCAGACAATGCCTTCTGGGATCTGTAACGCGGCGACTTTTCAAGGCCTTGTGCAAATCCCTCTAGTCGGATTATTCTCGAAGCATTAATTTACCTGGGTGACATATTTGTCTTTGGTAGGGATATGGATGGGCGTAATGCTAACTTGAGATTAGAGTTGAACCGTCTACGAGATGCAGATTTGACCCTGAAGCCAAAAAAATACCAATTTCGGCAGCCTTTGATCAACTTTTTGGGACAACCACCCCAGCAGACAGTAAAACGGTTACATTACAAAGCAAGTGAAGGCGTGGCCAACACCAACCGATCAGATAGGACGCTGTAGCAAGATTCTACAGGCCTTTAGTCAATCGTTTCGTCAAGATCGCCAGCCCGATGCATAAATTGACGGAAAAGCAAAGCAAAAGGAATATCAAGTGGAAGGAATGGGACAATGAAACGTCGAAAGAACTGAAGCGAACGCTTGCATCCGCACCGGTCCTAGTATTAACAAATTTCAAACCAAGTGCTCCACAATTCGTACTGAACACTGACGCCGGTGATGCAGTCGTGGGCTGTGTACTCTCTTAAAAGGACGAAAAATGCAAGAAACACGTCATCGCCTACACGAGCACCAAATTTGACGAAAAAATGAGACAGAAAAGTGAAATCAATCTTAAGACTAACTGTTCGACATCCCAGGCACTTTCTGATATCGAGGAAGTTCATAGTGGGAATGAAATGTCACGCGTTGATCTGGTTGAAAAAGTGAAGGAGGTAGACTGGTGGGTTGTGCTTTGATACGATTGCGTAGTGCAGCCCAGGAAGGGGTATACACGTAGTAACGCAGACGCCCTGTCTCACAGACCAGATCCAGCAGAAACAAATGGCGCTCCAATGAGCAGCATAGACTCCAGGAGCCCAAAAAAGATCAGTAGAGAAGTACACAACGGCTCTGGTAATACGAGAGGTTGCTCAACAAGCACTTACAAACCCATAGCTAAGGAGATGACCCCATTGACCAAGGCAGGCAGACGAATATGGTTGGAATGATTGAAACTAACTCCAGAGGATGAAGTTCTAATGTACCAATGCGTTCAGTCTCCTAAGTGTTCAGTGGTCCCTGACTCATTGGTACAACCAGTTCTCCATGAGTTACACACGCAACCAGGCCATGTGGGCTAGAAGATGCTTGACGCCTCGGGCATAAGGTACTGGCGGCCTTCGTTCATCCGAGATGGAATTGACTTCTGCCGGAATTGCGTTATTTGCAACAGTTTCAAAAGACTTCATCTCACAGAGATTGCAAAATTCGAACCCATGTTCATAGATTTCCTAGGATAAACAGAGGGCATCGATATCGTGGATCCTCTATCAACCACAGGAAGGGGCAACCGATGTATGTTTCTTATGGTAGAATACTACTTGAAAGTAGCCGAGGCAGAACCCATGAAGACGCAGCATGACAAAGCGGCCGCCAATAATTTCTCTAACCGCTGGATTTGTCAACACGAAGTACCTGAAATAATGTGTGGCCGTCAAGACGTTGAACTGAACTGTGGAAGAGCTTCGGGATTTCTACGACACGCGTGACACCAGGTCAACCCCAGAGAGGTGGATAGGTGGAAAGAACGAATCGTACCCTGACTGGGCTACTGAAGGCTTTTACTAAGGATCTACAACGCCGAGATTGGGACGGTGTATTCTTGCACATGTGACTGCAGTTTGTACCTCATCTGGCGTTTCATTGTTCAAAATGCGCACAAGTCGTGAAATGAGAATCCAAAACTAAATTTCCTTACCAAACCCATAAGTTCAAACTAACAGTGTTATGGAGTGCGAATTACAACTGAAAGGAGTGAGACGATCCCTCTCCATGGCATGGGAAAGCTCACGTCTGTCATAGCTCGGATGGAAGAAGTATTACGACAAACATTGTCAGCCCAACGTATGCCGAGAGAGACCTGCTACAACCATGCAGGCCTGTTCCTCCGCCTAGGATACCTTGCAATCCCCAATAACCTTAAAGCAAAGATGCACTCCGAGGGATGGCAGCCACCCCGCCATCAAACTACCGAGTCGACATTGCACGATCGCGTAGGCGACCAATCACAGCACGTCACAGCATAATGCGTCCGAACAAGGATGCCGTGATTTGATGGTTGTTTATCTCTCGGTTTTGGTGAGGAGCCACCTTTGACTTGGCCATTGTACCGCGATGGGTGGGCTGGCCTTTTGACCATGCCGGTAGCCCTAGTGTCTTCTGCATGCCGAATACATATGTATTCAGCCCGAGTGTTATACCTACTTTTGTTTGCAGGGGAGTCTCGGGACGCTGCATGCGCCTCCGGTTAAACGCAAAGACGCTCACATACTAATAAAAAAAAAGGCCATTGGAAAAAATTTTGGTAATATCCATAAGCGGAGCACCGGCGACGGTGCTCGAAAAGCCAAAGGGGTTGTTTAATAGGTGTTCGCTTGAGCGTAGCTGTAAAAACTACACCACCGTCATGCACTTCGTTTTAGTTTCGCGGGACCCGCCCTTGCAATTAAAATGGGCGGGGTAGCCTTTGGGACACCTCGGTAGTCTTCCAACCCTCCTACCTGTTAGCAAGTTCCATGTTCTTCCAGAGGAATTTTGTCTAATCCACATTCACAGAGGACGTGAAAGGCTAAATTAATTTCATTATTAGCTTCATTTTCAAACATAATTTTCCAAAATCAGTTTGCAAAAGAAATTTTAGAGATGTGGGACCTCAAAAATTAGGCGTTACTTTTGACAACTATAATAACTGTGAGGCTGTTACGATAAGGAATCCAACATTGATTTATTTATTAATGAGGCTGGCCTAAAGCAACTAATTTGACTTAATGTCCTGCATCCCCAATATTTTCTGACCGTATGCAATTAAAAAGTCTTCTCTTACTAAATCACTATCAGATTTGAAGCAAGAATATTTTTGTAAGTTAATGCAAATCTATTTTAGTACCCAATAATTTAAAAGTGTCTTTAGGTTTCTATTGGCTAAAGCCTGTCGGGACCTTGTCGAGTTTTGTGGGTGGTTTATGCCACTAAATCCAATGAAGGTGTCTTGAATTTAACAAAATGGCAAAGTTGTCTTACGAAGTCGTCTTGCTGCACTTCATTATTCCTTTGGGGTTGTTCTTTGGTAATATCTTCCTTAAATCTATTTATTTCCCAGCATCGACAATCCGTTACAACCTATTTTCCTTTATTTATTTCCTACTATTTTTGGGCTCACCTTTCATACGACGACCACGGGATGAGAGTAGCAGGGGTTTGCTTACATTTGCTCCTCTTAATTTCCTTCAGCTTCTCTAAAAGCATACTTAATCGTTCTGGCTACGACAAGTATTCTATTTACTTTTTCCCACCCTCTACTCTATTTAATCCTATCCATCAAACCGTCTCTCGACGAACCTCTTTCAAATTGTAAGTTGGACCTGTTTTAATCGTCTCCATTTCTGCACAGGCTCTTCTGAATATAGCATTGCTTCGGCTGTCGGGGTTCAAAAGTGAGTTAAGGTATTTTCTAACACTAGACTCACTTTAGACTCAATATGGAAATCTACCGTGCAATGCGGTTGGTTTTCCCAGACCCCATGGTCCTGCTCATTTCAATTGTTGCTCTCGTCTACCTTTCACGGAGAAGAATACATCACTCTGCCCTTAATCATTACTCTGACGAGGAAGCCACACACTCGAATCCCGAAAACACCGAGACAGGAGAAACATCCATCGGTTTTCTGCGCTCTACGGAGGTTCCTAGGATTCCTGTAAAGCGACCTGTCCCCACTGCGTCATTCTCAAACATCTGGATGCTCAACCTCCTCACAGTGGTTTTAGCGGCTGCTGCAGGTGTTATCGTCCCCTCCCTCCTTTCTGCCTTCTATCTGCTCAGCTTTTATGTCACCTGCACCTACTGGTCCTCTTGTAAGACTGTCTATAATCGCAAACTCGCCTGGACCCGCATTGTCCTCCTCATCTACAGTGCTCTTCATCTCTGTCTCTTCTACCTCTATCAGTTTGAGTACGCACAAAGTGTTCTCAAAGACGGATCTTTCATCGCCAGGTGCGTATGCTTCTTCCGTCTCTAATGTTGGTATTTAGATTGCTGGGGCTTAATTACCTGCTTCGTGTGGATTGCACGCGACCGGGAGAGGTGATATTTCCCTCTGACAAACCCCTCTTTGTTTTCTTCGCACCTATTGCAACACTATTTGTGTATTTGGCGGCTGCGGTTGAGATTATAACCAATAACGACACTAATTTGCATGGCAGCATGACCAAATGGGTAAGTCTGGTTTTGTGCTCCCCCCCAACTTGTAGATTTTCTTGCGTAACTCAAACCTTACCAACGCAACGCATCGACATTCTTTACTGCAGCGACAGGTAAGGTGGGAAAGAATGTGGTTTTATACTTTACCGATTTGCCTCTTTTGTAGCGTCAGCAGCCAGCAGATGATTTGAATCATCAGGACCCATCGACAAGTTTGAATGAGCCGCTGCTATTGAACACCAATCAGAACTCTGGCCCAGATGCAGTGGCGGGTCCGCTGTCACAGATTGATCAATCCAATGTCGATCAGACGTTCATTGATCTGGATGACCTGCCTACGACAGAGACTGTTGTAAGTCTAGTTGGTATCAGTTTATGCTCAAATTTCTTCTGATCTTGGACTATGACTTACAGTAAGGCTTAGGGTGGTACCGATTTAACTTTATTGATATCCTGTGTGCCGCTAGATCTCTTACCTGAGTCTGTGCTCGAGATTGTCTTAATGTGGGCCATGATGATGACTCCGATTTGCTCGACGTTTGCAACTGGTCAGAGTTTTAAATGCTTTTCGTTGACGAAACTTTTCTGTAGCATTATGATTTGGGCATGATTAAAACTGTGAAATTAAACCGCCTTTTTACCAAGGAAACGGTGTCAGCGCCTTGGCTATTAGACCTTTTTATAATTTGTTTATGCCCCTGCAAAGCGCTGACTCTTTGGCACATACAATAGGCAAGCATCCGTGCGAGTTTATATAACAATAAATAAATGTAAAGGGTTTATGAAATTTTGTTTTCTGTGAGACTCAAGCCTTCGAATTTCTTTGCTCATGGGCTGTGTCTCTGAAAGCATAATTCTTAGCTTTAATGACCTCCGTTTCCATCCCGCTGTTATTTCCCAACTTTTCACTACTTCTTACCGGACACCGTAGTTGCTTGATGTCAAGAAAGGATGGTGGTTACCACTCCAAGTTGAAGATGAGGCGCGGTGCGAGATGTGGAGTCTTTCTTCCTGTTGACTGTTTCGCCAGTGCTGACTATTTCTTATGTGAATCATCGAGTATCGAGTACGTAGATAGCATGCGTAGTTGTTTGGTCTTCAAGTGAACAATTTCTGGTAAAAAGTTGCGCTCGTAGGGTACCACCGATACAAAGTAAGCGTGGTGCGTGCTTTGAAAGTGCGGAGAGGATGGGGAGTGAATCATTTGAGAATAACCGCTGGATGATGTGGTTGTTCGCTTGGCAAACGTACGAAACATCAGTGCGAGTTCTTCATGCGTTAGTCCCACCATTGCCCCTCCATTTCCTCATGTTTATAAAGAATAGAGGATTTGTCTCAACGAGATTCACTCACCTCTGGATAATTCATCAGCAGGATTAAATTTTTCAGTTAAATGCACTTCTGGGTGGTGCGCCCTCCTTTCACGAAAAAACCAAAAAAGTTTACGTGCAGTTCTTACAGCTCAGGAACTGAGTGAGATACATTTCGCAGAGCAGATGAGCTTGAGTTGCATCTATCAAGTAGGTTCACTTAGCAGTTTTTACCGCGACATTTTTAGTTAATGTAGGTATAAACAAATTAATTCATTGCTCACTTGACAAATTAGCGGATGATCTTGATATCCTAACTTCCTCCGAATGCTATGCGACAGTTTTTAATGGAAATTTTTTTGGCCTTTGAAGTGAGTTAAGTTTGTTTGGTGGGGTAGACAAGGTGGAACTGCATGCATTAAGTTCGTTCAGTCAGCATTACATTGAAAGTTTAAAAGTTGGCCAAGGACAAGGAGGACCACCGTAACGATGATGGACTGATGCCCATCGCTTGCCTTTTATAAGTCCCTAAATGTTACAGCAACTGATGTCAGTACATGCCTTTTTGTTAGTCCGTTTCTGTGTCATTTTTTTCAAAGTAGCTGAGATTAGTGTCCTTGAACTGTCTAACTATCAGTTGTTTTTGGCCTGCAATCCTTTAGCGGTAGGCTGAAATGTGACGTGAATATGACTCTCTGCCACCAGCATGGTAACCGAATCGTGAGAATGGTGCTGTTTTCATCGCTTTTCGTGGCCACTTCTCACAGGGCAGTCGAGTGTTTTCATACAGGTCATGGAAATGGCGTGATGACCGTGTGGGAATTTCTAATCAAGGCGAGAAGATATACGATTTCAATGATATCTGGCAGTCTCATAAATCAAGGTAGATTCCACCGGAACACCCTTTTCTCGAATCGCCCGTTAAAGGGTTATTCGCTTTGTAGTGCTGAAGGCTAATGTATGTTCCGTAGTGAGCTCATTTATCATGTCAGTCAGATTTCAGTTGAAACTCTGATCTGGAAGCAAATGGTAGTTCAGTTAAAATATGGTCGACACACATCTTCCTGTCATTTCTGCCCAATGGCCTAACTGGGTTACCTCTAACCATAAGAAACGGAGGTAGTGTCACTCTGTTCATAAACCAATATCGGAAGTGGGTCATTAGTGGACTCTATTCTACTGAAGTCGAGATTGGAGTGGTTGCCGAACTTAATCCGCTGTTGAAGAACTTCCCTGACTCAGCTATGAACAGCAGACATCTTTTTTATAACGTTTCTATGTGGTATGCAACCCGGCTGCAGAGCTGAAAATCAACTTACATTCAATTTCCTGCTAGCTTTTGATCACTTGAAAGAGTAGGCATTTATGCTGTCATTTTTATCGATAATGGCGACAGAGCACAAATCTTTGGCCTTTTATTTCAAAAAATTGGTCGCGTTGTCACCCATTTCTCTTCTAGGCTCTCGTACAAGCAGATGAACCAGAAATAAAGCAAATCTCACGATCCCTAACAGTAAGCGCGATTGAAGGCGGCGGCGGAGGGCGTTTCTTAAGACCAGGAGGACCCACCGACCGCTCTCAACCTGTCTATGATGTCTTCCCCTTTATGATAGCCGCTCGCTTTCGTCATGTCGGCGGTGATGTTACTCTCGACGAAAATGCCAACTTTTTCTCACCCCTCACTCAGCGTCCACTTCTCCTCAGCTTCCTCAACTCAGCTATTCGTAACAGCTATATTCTCACCTTTATTGCCATGATGGTAAGTCTCAGCACTTTTTGCTCTGGCTTTGATTGGTCCTAAAAGTAGGTTTCAAACCCTTCACTTTAACCTATTATACGAGGGTTGCCCAAGTGTAACCGAGGGCTTCAAGTAAAACACAAAGCAGTTCTAAGGAGACTGAAATTTCTTTTATTTTTTCGGTTTTTCTGCTGCTGCCTTCATGCAGTAATCGCAGCATTCACCGCTCCCACAAGAAAGCTTGTCTCTTGTGCAACTTTGTGCCAAGTTATGCGTCAGTTATCCAGGGTCAGACCTTATATCCTCTTTATGCTTAAAGCGCTTACTACTGAGGCTGTGGACTGGAAATCCCTTAGGCTGGGAACGTCATTGAAAGACATAACCTGGGGTTTTGAACTATTTGTCCTATTCAAATTCCCTACTATATGGCCGTAGATATGCATGTTATAGCCCTTCGTTGAGAAGAAATGTCATTAGTACATTCGTGCCACTTGCCGGCGTGCGTCGTATCAGCCCTGTTAACATTCATTTTTTGTCTAGCTAAAAGTCTCGGTTGCATAGCGTTACGCCTTTACATAAAACTTAATAGTTTATAAGACCGGCTTCTCCTTGTCGTCTAGGCCTGGAGCGTAGTCTTACGCAGTTGGTTGTCCTTCATCCTCCTTCTCTCCGCGTGCATTTTGTGGATTTTACCGAATTCACGACTGGCCTGCCTCTACTGCAGCCCTCTGATTGTCGCCTACGGCATGTGCATAATTTTACTGCAGTATATCTACTGCTTCGATCTTACGGAGGTCGAACTGCCAACTTACCTGCCAGATAAGAACCTGAATCTTACCGAGATAGGACTGCATCGCTGGCCTGTTCCTGTGTGGCCTCTGTCTCTTCAAGTGAGCCTTTGACCATTCTTTGTCTAGACAATCCGATGTCTGTCTAGCCAATTTTTGGGTGCTATAATTAGGTGTACCGTAGGGCACTCAGAGGTGGCATCAGTTTAAGGGAAATTTTTACAATCCGGTAGTCATCGGTTTATGCACGGATCTTACTCGTGGCTAGAGGAAGCCTAGATTGTGGGATATGCAGACGTGTTCGAAGACTATAACTCACTTTCAGGTGGTACTGTTTGCCCTCTTACGCTATTTATTTCCTTTTACTACTGTACAGTTGACGTTTCTTGTCTTCTTCTGGCTGAACCTGCGCCTCTTTGTGTTGGAGCGGTCGTCGTCCCTTTCATTTTCGTCCCACAACTCTACGCGTTCGGTGGTCCACACCACCAATACCAGCGCTGCAACCACTGCTACAGCAGTTGGCGGGGCTACTGGTGTAGAAAGGGATGAAGAGTGGAGGGAAGGAGGAGGTGGAGGGGGAGGGCTAGATGGTGCTACGGCTGCTGCTGTCGCCGCTGCCACTTCCAGTCAGTATGAGGGCATTGCGGTGGTGGACAATTTGCAATATCGCAAGTTTAGTGAGTCTTTTAACCTCTCATCTTTTTTCTGCATCCACTATGCACTTGGTGAAAAAACATCCAGGATTATGGAAACTGAAGCCTTTCTTTTCTCTCTTTCATGAGATTTAATCTTGGAGTGGATTTTCATAATAAAATAGAACTTTATTCTTATTTACTTCCCCATTCTTTTCTCTCCTTGAAAAAAGTACAGGCAGTTGAGACAGTTTTGCCTAACTTTGCAAGTTGTTTCTACCTGTTATTTCGTTTTTTCGTCAGTGTTCTTAATCGGGAGAAAGTAGCCATTCATTGGCCTGATCCAATAAATAATGAATTATTTGATTCGTAGGACGCTTTCCAGTTCTTCCTATTTTTCGGTTTGGAAACACTATTTTTGAATAGCTCTCATGCAAACACCCAATGTGGTAAAAATTTTGAATTTGTTCACTCGGTTTTTTGCCTTCTGTCACGTTTCCACCCGAAAGTAAATACGCTTCACTTCCTTTCTTAACTCAAGGAAAAATGTTCTCTTAAATGTTTCATTAGTAATCTCTTGAAAACAGCAGATTTTCATTTCCCATTCTTCTACTTCAAGTAAGGAATTAAAAGTTGCCGGAAATCATGAAAAACCCGGCCATCCTTCCCCAAAGAAGCAAAATAACGCAAGTTTCACATCCTTCATATCTCTTTCACCGTTTTTGACCGCCCGCTTCATGTTGCGCGTGTAATCATGTGGTTGTGTAGTAGCGAGAAGAGGTCTTATTCATCACTTACAATTTGGTCGTTGTTATTGTCGGAGGATTATGGGGGATGGACGGAATAAGCCAGTGCATTTCTTTCATCTCGAAGTACCACTTGAATTTGTCATGAGCCACTTTAAAGTCAATAGATCCTCCGTTGTCCTGGGACGGTAGCGCTTTTTTTCAGTGAATTTGCCAGTTACGGCTGCTTCTCGCGACAACGTCACTCTTCAACGCCTTGTATTAAGTTGCATCGTCTAGCGAACCGAATAATGCACAAGTAGATGAAAGGTTCATTTGTTTGATCTTCAGCAAGTGAAGGGTTCTTGGTGAACGGTTGCATCTGCAGTGTACTATCGCCACGAAGTAAGCACATTCTTCTGGATATTAAGTGGTGCCTGTTTGGGAAACGCGAAAAGGGTGGTGGGTGGATCGTTTGGGTTAACCTATGCGCGATATATATCCATCCATTTCTCAAACGTTAGGCCCAATGACGTACGTCCATTTCCTTGTGATTACAAGGAATGGAGGATCTTCCTCAATGTTTTTCACCTACCTTCGGATGATTCATCAACAGGATCAAGTTGTATGTCGGAATCATTTGTTGGGTTGTGCATGCTGCCTACACATCACCGCCAAGTGCTACTCAAGCAAAATTTGCGTGACCCTTATGCAGATTTCGATTCTGAGAACAGACAAGCTGGAATAATATTCATAAGACGCATTCAGTCGGCATTTTGGGACTTTGACTTGGAAGAAGATTGATAGGAAGCACAAATGAGTACCGTAGCGATTAACGCCTACCTATCTTATTTAGTGCTGCTCGAATCTCGGGGTGAATAATCCATCTAAATTTTGGTTGTCACTTCTTTGCATCCATGTGACAAAGATTTGATTAAAAAGTTCTGAGAAGTGTTGAATTTTCCACTTCCCATTTTACTCATTGAGATTTGTCTCAGAGAAGTATGTACTTAAAAGGTAATGGGTTCTACAATGTCTACTTTCTTCCCCCGTTCTCTTCTGTCTTTTCTTGTGATGCTCTAATTTTTACAAGAAATGCTGGGAATAGAGTCTACTCCCTTGTTTTCTTATTTTCTTCTGTGTTAAATCCGTTGATCTAGTATTTTTTAAATTTCATATGCAGATTACCAGTTTTTGATGCCCTAATCGGAAGGGCTTCTGTTTGTGGTTGGTGGTATTCTTCACCCTGTCATTTGTGTTGCTTACCATAAATTTCGTCTCCAGGCAATAGAATTCTGTTTTTCTCGTGTGTAGTGTGTCTGTGTAGCGCCGAGTCATATCTAAAGACGTAATCTGACCTATTAGCATGAAAGACATGAAAGTGGTGGCAGATCTCACGAAGACTGGAGAGTTTACATACTTGGATGTTGAACTAGATGCCATTACGGAAGTTGTAGGACCTTAAAATCTTCGTGAAAAGTAAACGGGTGCTTCACAGATGCTCTGGTTTTGCTTAAAGACATCGTAAACACTGGGAAGGAAGGGAGGGTTCCAAAGCCCCGCAGCGAATAGCGTAGAGCTGAAGTTTGCCAGTTAAATTAGCACAAGTGAACAATAGTTTGCTGTATACAGGCAATACGAAATCCCTTTATAATAGCTGGATCCTATTCTCGACTTATGGCGAATAGGAGTGATGTGGACGCTACAACCGAACTGTAGCATTTGATTATATGCGTACATTAAAAGCCTACACAGCAAAGTACATTTGTTTTTTTGCAAAGGCATCCGCATCTGCACTTTTGTTTGGGATTCGTGACTGCTCTTGTTTACATTTGATCCATCCTGGAGATCCGGCATTCGACTGGAGGAGAGCATGTACTATGTAAACTTGATATTAACTTTCATGCAGCTGCAGGCATCAATGGGATCCTCAATCATTATTTGCAGGCCTGTTAAGGACTCCTCCTATGTCAGAAAAGGAATTCCTACGAGTTCTAATCGGTAAAATTAGGCGACAGAGTGCTAGAGGTGGCATGGTTAGAAAAGTTGTTCATTTTTTTTTTGAAATATAGGATTAAATCCACTTTAAACAACTTTTTGATACAGTTCTTAGAAGGGATGAAGTGAAATGTAGTTTTAGAATGCTTTGTGGTCGGGATTTAAGATGGTCAAAACGGTGCCTCTTCAGGCTTGGGAGCTTCCGTATCAAGTGACATGAAATTAGACTGAAACGTCACTCTCCTGGCTTTTGTGGAAATTACTCCCGGTTGACCTGTCTATCCCGGATGCTTGGGTATGCAGTCTTTTTTTACCTGAAGTTTTTCCCACTAGTCGTTAAATCCAGCAGGTAAACGCGTAAATGGTTCCGAAATAGTTGGTAAAAGCCGAAATTTTGATTTCATTGTTAAAAACAGTTTTGACAGCTTTGAGACGTTGTAAGTAGCGAATGGTCGTGATATTTTTCACAGTTTTTTTGGTGTAACTAGCATGTAGGCATTTTTTCGTACACATGCATTATGAAGCACGGACAAGCGCCAATCTATGGAGACAGTTCCGAATTTGCATAACATGCACGTAAACTTTGACTAGCACTTGGCGGTGATGCGTAGGCAGCATGCACAACCCAAAAAATGATTCCGACATACAACTTGATCCTGTTGATGAATCATCCGAAGGTAGGTAAAAAACATTGAGGAAGATCCTCCATTCCTTGTAATCACAAGGAAATGGACGTGCATCATTTGTGACTTGTATTAATGTTATATGCTAGTGGTGAGGCATTCGCTAAGAGAATGGATAGATATCGTGCATAGGTTAACTTAAACGATCCACGCACCACCCTTTTCGCGTTTCTCACACAGGCACCACTTAATGCCCAGAAGAATGTGCTTACTGTGTGGCGGTGGTACATTGCGGACGCAACCGTTCACCAAGAATCCTTCACTTTCTGAAAATCAATCAAATACGTCCAAGATCCACCTACCTGGTTCTCCATGCGATTCAACTTGATACAAGGTGTACCATAATAACTTCGTTTTGAGAAGTTGTCATAATTGGCATATACGTTGGAAGAAGTGTTACTCTTCCAACACAACAGGCAGCCTATTGTGCTCACAATTACCCATAATACATCACATGGTACACTAGGATGAAAGAGGGGCATGGATTCATTCGCCTTCTCCCTCACTCCTCATATTCCTCCGATAATACCCACTACCAGGCTGGAGGCAGTAATTACCACCTTTGCCTGCCACTACGCAATCGTATGTCTACACGCGGAAAATGGACTAGACGTTAGAAAACGAGAGTGAGACGGGTATGGAGATTAGGAGGCTTGTATTGCAAACTTTATGTGTAAATTCCATTAAGTCTCACAGAAAAGGGTTTACAGATGAAATAAAGTGCTCTAGGCAATTCGCTTACTCGGCCAGCTTATAGTGACGGAAAAAATAACCGAATTTTACTAAACTTCCGGAGTTATTTGGCTGCGTTATTGCTGGAACAGCAGAAAAAGCCCGAAGAATTTTATTACAAAAAAGCGTGTCTACAGATCTGCGCGATGATTAATTCATTCGATTAGTCATCGCAGATTAGTTTATTTTGCCTTTTTTCCGATTAATGCCACCTGTCCAAAATCCTCCCATCGTTGTCAGTGTGTATTTTCGACTTATCTGGGTGGATATTTTGATGATACCTCTTGCTAGTTGTGCGATTCTCTATCTCCGCTTAAAGGTAATTACCAAATTAATAATCGCCATTCACTTTTGGTACACTTGCTTGAGCTTCGAGGTCATCCCTATTCCATTATCCAATCTTGATCTCGATGCATCATCTAGCACGACTTTATATGGGTCTCCGTGTTGTTCAAAATAGGCCCCTTGCTTATTGGTTTGTTCTCTCAGTGACGTGCCAAAGGAAGTAGGCAAATTCGTTCAAATTATGGTATCCAGGGCGCTTAATTGATAATGGTGAGTTCTTCAAACTTTTGCTTATCCACTGCCATTGTCGATCTAGGGTTTGCTAACAATCTCGATCGACTCTGGAAACTGCTTTGCATTTTCTACTAATGTGGGTTTGCTAACGCCATTTAAGGGGAGGTAAACTAATAATCACCCAACAGTAGCTGCACTTCAGGGTCAAAATGGTGTGGTAAACATCACCTAATTTTTTGCCCCACTCTGCATATCTTAGTTGGGTGTCTTTTTGACTCATTTTTTGTGTTGCTGGAATTTACCTATCATTGCTTGTTTACTTTCGTGAATGCAAGTCTGCTTCATTTCTTAATCTTTTTCTAATAGCAAATTCCCTTGGTTTAACAACCGTTTTTATGTCCATCGAACGACCTCCTTGTTGATCAAATTAAAATGAGGAGAACTTCCAACGCACGATTTCTGAAAGAGATTTTACGAGGAGATTTGCAGAGAAAATGATCTTAGGCAGGAGTAATCAATTCCTTCTTGTTACCGTTTGATCATTTTTGCATTATTTCCATCTTTTGTGTTATTAAAAGTTTTCTTCCCACTGACTCTCAACTGGGTGACCTCATTGATGGAAGGGCACTTTTAGATGTGTTTTTAACGCCTTGCTACCAAACGTCTTACCGTCAAAGGAATGTTTAGGCTTGGAGATGAAATAAGCTCTTCTTTGCCCGCCACCATGCTGGAGGCTGAAGTAGGTATTCAACTGCGCCCCATTTGTTGAACAGCAGTTTGTGGATTTTCGCCTTGAGGCATTTACACAATTTTGAGCTAAGTGCTTTTTATCCATGTCTGGGTTGCATTGAATTGGGAAATGAGTCGGACTTTGACCATCGATTGGAACAGATCCGAAAAAAATTAAAAAAGAATATTTTTTGTAGCTTTTCCTCTGGCAAAATATTGTGGACAGCGCCTGAGTTAATTTTAAAGGTAGTGCAAAGTGCAGAACGTTGGAAGACTTGCAGCTCTTAACAAAACATTCACGGAGCAGGAGTAAAGATATCCTAAATCCATGTTGTATCCATAGTGATGCTTCTCGTAAATTACCATGTGGTTCACCCGTCATAGTTTTCTGCTGACAAATCACCCTAGATCAATTCATTTGGGAGGTGGTAAGCTGTTTTACAAGCACTTTTGGGTCCAGTTTTTCTTTACCTTTCATTATTCTTACATAAGTTAACCGGCTACTCAACATTAAATTCTACTACATTTTCCCAGCGGTACGGACCTGCAAAATCAAAACAACCTGGTCCTTCTAACCTGCGTTCTTAGCTCACGTTATCTTCGGAGCTGTTACTTTTCCACGAAACCATTATGATTGGATGTTGCCAGGAGAAGATGAGAAGGAGCACTTAAAGACGTTTTATCAAAGGAATGCGGAGAATTAGGGGGAGATGGAATCCATTTCTTTGCCTCTTATCCTAAAGTACAGTATGGGATTCTTTTCGTGGGTCACTTTTGCGGTGCAAAGTATGGGTTCTTATTTTATCTTATACACTCAAGACTTGCTTCCAAATGATTGGCTAGTCTTGGTTAATTCTGAAAAAGATCATTTTTTCCTGTGCGCCACTAAGTTATACTATGCTGGACTGGTAGATCTCCATTGTAATTGTGCTTAAGGTTTGCAAGAAAATCGCGTTTTTGTGACGTGAAGTGAGGCTAAAATTTATTATTTTTGAAGCCTGTTTTGTGTTATTCATCGCTGATGCCCGACATGCAACCGCCGCGTTTTGTCAGTTTATGTGGGTGTAAATAAATTTTCATCACTCACGCTACGCATTGCTGAGAGTTAGTTCTGACACCGGTAACCCGAAGCATATTTTTGAGGGCATTTCGGGGTGGTACCCTACTGATATTGCGGGGCTTCACGCCTTTGGAAATAAGTTAATTTCAGCTTGTAAAACAGACGAGCTCAAATGCTATTCATCCATTTCGTTCAACAGACTTAACATTATATCCTGGTTCAAAAGGGATAGAGAACGTAGTAAGGTTATTCGTTTTGACGGAATGACGCCTGTCTGCACCTAGTAATGCATGCATTTTATAAACAATTATACACACTTTCCAGTCCTTATAAATTATGACAGCAGTTTATATTCATAAGTCGTACCAACTTTTCGATTACCAGATAAATGTTGAAGGTTTTTCAGTTTTTAGATTGAAAACCGAATTATCTTTTACTTTTTTCCAGATAATAAGATTCGCTTTTTCAATGGTAGCAGCTCGCTTTGGAACTCGATCGTCGTGTACTTCTTGTGTCAGCAGAGCCAGTATCTTGCATCATAGATCGTGCTCATTTTTAATCCTTGACAAACTAGCTAGTTAGAGTGTCAAGCACTGGGAGTGTCTGTAATCGTGGATCGTTTGGGTTGTACGAGATATTGTGCAGTCTTGATGAAGCAGTGTTTCCATGGCGTAACTCCCAATCCAGAGCTTTGTAAACCTCTCTATTGTTTAAAAGTAGATCGTACGCTGATGGATGAGCATTTCGCCTGTGCTATTTTTCAGAGTATTATGATAAAACCCGTTTCGTATTTTTCCATTCTAGCCTCGTTTCTGCACAACCTGTGTGTGCGCTACTGGATCGCACTTTGTTGTCTCACCATGCTCCTCTTCTCGCTGCGTCGACCTGTCGTCATCTTTCGCGTGGTCTACATGGTTCTTCTGCTCTACTTCTTCACCGTATTCATGGTTAGTCCTCGATTGATTTACCTGCAAGTGTTGCGTGTCGAGTCTCGCCACAGTTAAGTCTCATGTAGTGATTCTAATTTTAGCTCTCCTGTTTCTTTTCTCTGATTGCCCTACCTCCCTTGTTCGGAATGCAGATAGATTACAGACGCTTAATCGGTTGGTGTCGTAACACTGTGGAAGTCATTTTGCTGCTTCCTTTAATTCATCACCAACTTTTAAACTGAGGTCATTTCTGCCCCCCACATTTCTTCATAAAATCCGCGTGCATTTGCGACTTGCCAGAAAATTCTGTATTAACAGTGAAATGGAGGAGGGCTTGCTTTGGCTTGCTTCTACACTATAGCAAAATAGTTATTGCATAGCAACCTATTTGTTCCTCGCCTGAAACAGAGGCCACACCCTTTCCACGGCACTTAAATATTTTTCCTTAAAATGAGCATGAAATGCATAAGACAAAGCGATAAGGCTCCTTTTGACATCGACGCGATACCGACTTACTTATGACAACAGACCAGTTAGTCGGTCTTTAACCGAACAAATCATGGGTTATCTTCATACAAAAAATTTGCTACTACCGGACGCTGACCGTTGAAATAGACGTGTCAGGTCACGATGCCCGGAAGTGAGGTGTTGTTGATTTTTAAGGCAGCAGACCTGGTTATTGGCCTCGACTTGACCGATTGAATGTGTTCTTCACGGAAATTAATCATATTAGCCGGAGTTAGTAAATTATGTGGCGATGGCGATTGTCCTTTCTCGGCATGGAGGCAATACTGGAGTAGCCGGAAAGCATAGATGGCCGTGATGATGTTTCTTCTAGTCTCTAAGTCACTTTGATCGAAACGACAGGATGCACTCCACTTTAGCAGGATAAAAATCGAAGTGACCAAACGGAAACCAATGAAATGAATATTAGAGGCCAAGATGATCGGGTAGTATGCGTGGTCTTGAGGTGCCATCAACTACATGACAAACGGCGACCCATCGATTGCTTTGGCTAGCAGTAGAGATGCAATGTAACTGGATAGCAAAGTGATCTCCACTTGAACCTTTTGTGTTTCCTCTTATGCCGAGGCATCAGTCTATGGAGGAGTTGGATATTCGAAACAAGGCCAGAAGGTAGGCGTATCTAATCATGTTAGTTGTGGGAAGTAGGGAGGCGAGCTATACGAAGATCGGTAAAAAATTTTCAAGACAATGGGTTTCTCTTATCGACAAGCCTTCTCCGTCGACTTAAGCTGAACTTAGATTAAGCTAGATTTTGGGACGCTCGGGAGGCGACGATGTTGGCATTGACAACGTCGGAGCTAATATCCACTTTGAAGGCCATCTTTATGAAGACGCGGAGGCCGGTGAAGTGGAAGATGAGGGTGATGAGAAAACCCGTTTAAGAAGGGAAAGGAAGTAACAAACCAAGATTTTTACTGAATGATGTTATTGGTTACAAAGACGACACGGTGAAAGAAGGGTAGAAATTACCGTATTTAAATGATAAGGTCAATTGGCTCTCGTCAATTCAGCTAAGGTACTTCTCGAGTTAATTGACTAAAAACAAACTCCCAAAGTCATACATAGATGATCTTGGTTGGACTACAATTAAGCCTTTATCGATGGAACGTCTAAGCTATCATTAAAAGGGTTTTTTACAGTCCGAAATGCATGATGGATAGTTTCTATGGCTGGTGGTTTGAGCAGCGGCAGTACTACCGTTGTTTTTGCGAACAACATTGTTCACGTGCCTGTTACTCATTTGCATTACCCATCCCCCTCAACAACGTCTCGGCCTATTGGCCACTGATTGGGTCATCTACTGACTGTCATATTAGCTTTTCTATCCTCCTCCTACCACGTTAGCTTAGTTCGTTTTTGCTAGATTCAAGTTAGGTTAGATTTTGTGAAGAGCTAATCGGACATTTTATACCTACTGGTAGTTATTATTTCACTACGTTATGGCTAATCTCACCATCTCCTTACATCCACTCACCTAATTAGCATGACCCTTCGTGTCCGTGGTCGTGTTTATCTTCAATTGACGAACTGCCGCCATTCGCTGTTGCATTCGTTCATACCTGCGAGACGGTCTTACGGGCTAAGGCTGCCATAGCTGCTGTTTGTCTATTTTGCGTGCTGTCGCTGTACCTCGCTGTTTTTGTGTGGCGGTGGGGACGACCGCAAGGTCATTGCTACGGTTAGATTCCAGTTCTCGATGCGCACTTGTGGTTCCTGTGTCTTGCTAAAATACGTAGGACCTATCCTGAGAAGGTCTCACGATTTGACATTGACAACCATTTCCGCATTGATCAACATCCTCAACACTAATTTAGACCTGAGAAAGTTGGCATAGCAGACAAAGGGTAGCTAAAAGTCGTGAAACTCAAGGGAGAAAGTTGTTACATATAGGCCTAAAAGATCCTGGATTTTAAAATTAGGGTTTTTTGATACCTAAGAACACTGTCTAAATGAACGTAGTTAGCGGGTAACACGAGGAGAATGGAACGCATGTTTAATGCATTGGGGGTTCGCACCTTTGCGTAAACATGGCATAAGGTTAGTTAATGAATTCTCTACTAAATTCGATGGATATCTTATCTCTGTGTTCATAATTATATCATCCATAGTGGCCATATGATTGTAGACTCGCTTGTGGAGATCTTTCTCTTGATGGAGTTCTACCAAGGGGGAATGTGACTATAGGGCCTAATGTGCTGAAGGCAGTATGCATAGTTAGTCAATTAGGTGGTCATACCTAGGCAATTATAACATCTCAAACAGCTATTCGTTTAAATTATACAGACATACCAAAGCATTTACAATGATTACACAGATAGATAAGTCCTTGGTTTTTTGGATATCCTTGTTGGATGTCATCAAAACGGTGCCTAGAGAAGCTCAAATGAGGCGATCTTGGTGGACCATCCACATCTGAACATTACGGTCTCTAAGGGGTGTTAAGGGATCCTACTGGAGCAGCTAAATGCTTTTTTGGCAGCATTCTCTGGGACTGGAACTTATACTGTCATACTGATCGTGTTACCTTGTGGAATAAACTAGGTGCGCTTCTCATTACTAATCCCTTCATTGGCTCGACATAAATGGCACGAGGACGATTTCGACGTGTCTGGTAGTGTTGGATCGTAGACAATGTCTTTTTCCACCTTTGGCATGGAAGAAATGTTCCCAGTGGAGAATAGGTGCTCTTCCTAATTCGTGGTGTCGTGGTGTCTTCTTGGGTTCTCATGTTTCCCTATTTCCTCTGTCAGATTCATACTTTTCATGCTAGAGCTGAGAACTTATGTGGTTGTCATCCTTTTCTAAGGTGACCTAACTTCCCAAATTGCGCTTCTTTACATTATCTTGTCCCTAGGAGCCAAAAAAACGATCCCTTGTTGATGCACAGTATTAACAACTGCTCATAGTAAGGGATATTAACATACCAGTAGTTGTACAAATTCCTTGACCAAGGGCATATTTTTAGAACATCTCTGGACGGTACATCCCAAATGCCGTACAGCAGATCCCACGAAAATCCTCAATATTCTTGGCACTGCGATGAAGTTGCTTAATAAACCAGGCAAGGTGGAAACACGCGTGTCGGGTTGGTTCAGCCAGCACTTTATTAATAATGAGTGGTTAAAATGAGGGGGGGGGATGATGGTGAAAAAAAAGAAACACTACCGTACCGACTGATGCGTATCTATGGTACACCTTTTACAAGAGTTGACAGATTGCGATAGGCATTTGCTGTAAGCTATGTTCTAAAATCACAAGATTTTTTAATCACTTAATAGTTTTACAAGACACAAATCAGGGCCTCTTAGAAACTTCCGACATTAGCCCATAGTCTGCAAAGGGTGGATAGTGCCTCTCTAGTTAGTGGAAACGTGTAATTAAGTGTAGTTGTTCTAATACAAAATGTCCAATTTCTGCTTCAGCAGAAGGAAGAAACGAGGGCAATTCAAAGATCTAGCATTCTCACTTATCCGTTACCATTATTAACGTGTTGTGTTGTGTAAGTTTTCGATTTTGGTGGCTCTGATGATCTCGTTAGTTGTTAGTTATTTTCTAACGCACAAAACGGGTGGTCAGTTGTCAATTTCGTTTCTAAAATGGCGATCAAATTTGCCAAGGTCAAAGGGAACTCCCTTACTTCACTTATTCATCGAAATAAGCGTAATTCTCCTACCAAATACTCATTATTTGTCTCGAGGGTGCGTGGAAGAGGTTCTTTTATTTAATCAAGACATGATAGGACAATCGCCTAAACGAAACGGAGGGTTGAAGTGAGATTGAGTGGTGCTAGCAAGCTCCAATCATCTGCATTGTTTTTGATGGGTAGTCTACCTCTGTGTACATGTTCACCTTCTGTGCGCCAGTTTTGAACTTTGTACGCACAGCGCTAGTGATTGTTTTCATCTAACCTCCCCTCTCTCTCATAACTTGCCCAGTTGATTCTACGAGTGCAGGCATTTTTTTAAAAAAAAACTAAGCTTAATTAGTTGAGGTTCATGTGCACTCTTTGCACCCTACTTTCGCCTTTTTTCCTCCAAGGTGAGCTACCGATTCTGGCGAAAGCAGATGCCCACATTCTGGTGGGTTTACATCATTTACTCCATTGCTGTACTTCTCTGCACCTACACCTATCAGTTTACCTTTTTTCCGTACTACTGGCAAAATGGCACCGGATTGAGTCCTCAATTGTGAGTTCTAGCCTATTTTCATCAGACTGCTTTGTCTTTTCAACTTCTGCAATTGTGTATCTGTCTGCAAACTGTAGATTGAAAGCTATCGGTTTGGAACAATTTGATAGTGCGGAACTCTTCGATCGGCTCATGATGCCTGTCGCATTCATGGTGGTCATTATCCTCCAGATGCACTACTTTCATAAACCCTTTCTCGAAATCTCCTCTTTGGATAGATATCGGTGAGTTTTTTCCCTTTTAATGCACCTCTAACTATCTGTCTTGTTTCAGAGATCGTAATGGACAAGAGAGGTTGCGTGTGAATCAACCTGCTTCGAGCTCTTCACATCAAAACTACACTGAGTCATTGGAGACACAGTCAAGTAGGTACCTGTCGGTTTCTTCTTCTCTCTACCCTATCCATATAGATTTCTTGGAAGACTTTCACTCTGTCTTCAATATCATTGCCTCATCAATTTGTCGGTTTATTAACACCTCCCGTACGGTGGCGTGGAGGTTCGCAGAGGTGCATTGGATCAAAGTCGTTTGTCTTCTTGTCATGTTATCTGTCATAAAAGAGGTGAATTTATTTTTTTTTTCCTTCAGATTTACTTATAATTGAGTTTTTGGTCATAAGGATCATTTTATTGCAGTTTTTTACACCGTTTCGATTAGGGACTTCTTAGGTTTTCCGTTTGCATTAATTGCTGCGAAAAGGAACGAGGGAACGGGAGTAGGATGGGGTGGTCATAAAGCTCTTCGTTTCAGGGACAGATGTATTTGTGTGGGATTTTTTTGCTAAAATTTTCAACAGCTGACGCCAAATGGGAGGGGAAATGGTGAGTGTTTGTTAAGAAAGGAACAATTTAGCTATTTTTAGATTTAGTTGATCAACTACAGTCGACAATACTCATTTGAACGATGAAATGTCTCTCGTAAGACTGGATTTGAGAACTAATGCAATTCACTAGGTCTTCCATCGTGTCTTTATGGATGCGACTGAATAGCCCAGCTGTCTAGATTGCCGGCAGTGGTTTGATTGACTGCTGCGTGGCGCCTTTTAGTTTGAGTTTTCACGCAATCCTCCTTTTTTGAATCAAGACGGGACTTTTCGCATTTAGTAAGCTGTCTATATCCAGGCCAAGAGGGATAAGTTTTTTGTGGCATTGTCGATTACTTTTAAGTCGACGGCGTAACGCATTCTGTGGTTTGTTGCGTGTCTTGCAGGTGACAATCACGAATATCATTCCAGTGATTATCATGGTGGTGTGCTTTCCCTTCCCTTACCTTCACGGCTTCCTCGTCACCTTCATTTTCTGTTTCACCGGCCTTCAAATTGTTATGAAGATGCTCTTCCAGTTAGACATTGTCTCCGACCTCGATTATGCCAACGTGATCGCATCAGGGGCGCCGAATAACCCAGCCCAACCAAAGTCCAGTGTAGGTTGTGGAAGAGTATTTATCGACTCAGCAGACCCATAACTTTGAAGTGATTATATCTACATTTTTGTCCCTCTTTTCACTAGATCACTTCTCTACTTCCTAACGGAACGGGCAAGTGGATTGGCTTGGATGTGGTTGAAGACTTTCCCAAGTATATCACGGTCAGTATGGTTCATAATCTTTGCCTTTTTTTAGCTTTTTCTTTCCTCTGTCGCGCTTGTTCATCACATAACATCTGGTCGTGAAAGGCCTTACGAACAGTTCAGGTGCAGACCATTTCGGGAATGAAAGTCAAATTATTCTGATCATCTGTTCCTTTTGTGGTTATTTTATTGGTTAACGTCTGATTATTTCAATTTTAGTACTGCAACGATGGTGTACAATTTTTCCCACTTGGTGTAGATTAATCTGATCGGTTGTGCTGTTAAACTTACTACACCTCTCATGTTCATTCTGGCGTTCTGTTGATTTGGCCTCATTGCTGTTAAAAGGGAGAAAGTCACTCATTTTGGCTGGTACTGTAGTACTCATATTACCCATGTAACTAGAATGGAGACTTCTTGTTGATTTTTATCGAACTGAAGCGATTTCATTGCCATGAAATGGGTGCAGAATCTGCTAAAATGAGGGTTCACTCACCTTTAATGGTGAATAAAATAAGTACTGTTTCATGACCATAGCCATCTGTCTTCTGCGTCCACGGTTTATTGAATAGCATCTGGTAACTGTTATTTTATTGTTGTGGAAAGCATGCGATCTGTGGAAGTGGAGGTCACCTAGTCAATATCTGTCCAAGGCAGTCAGAATGGATGCTTCCGTTTAGAGCTGTCTGCAGTGCTTCGTTTTCTCCACAGTGCAACACTTTTTGCAATCGTTCGCCCGTTGCCACACGGTAAAGGTGACATCCTTTGTTTTTGAAGTATGTTTCCAGAGTAGTGAAGAGTTCAGTTTTTTCCTACTTAATGACGCAGAAAAGTTAACTGGTTCCTGTCCAGATGGGAGAGCGAATTCAGAAGCCGCTCCCATTAGTCCAATTCAGTCGGTCTATTTACCAATTTTTTTTGAAGTGATTTGTTAAGATATTGTATTTGTTGTTCTTTTCGTTCTCACGAAATCCTATGAAAATGCTCCTACTGGGAAAGGTAAGTCATTATATGGCTTTTTTCTAAGAAGCCTATCAAAGCATATGTTAAATGTACTCTCTTACGGCACCGGAAGTAATTATTTTTATGCAATAAATATGCCAATTCCTCCACGAGTTTGTGAGCCTATCCATCATAGAATTTTGTTGGGGAGAAAAAGGGGAAACAAAAAGGGAGTATTGTGAGATGGCAAACCGCGAACACGTGTTTGTTTCAAGTCATGCACAGGCAGCATCTTCATGGCAGGGAACATGTTCTCTCATTCTCTGCTACTTTTTACCGCCCCTAGTGTACTTAAAATATGGGATAAATTTGCAGACACAATAAGGGCTGAATTTAGACTAAGATTTTTTTAAATAATGCAAAGCAACTGCTTGAGATAATCGCAGTTGCTATCACTACCTTCTTTTCTACCAGGACACCAGCTTATGAATTTTGCCTAGCGAAAACGGTTTTTTTGTCTCCAGAATCAAAAAAGGTGGCCTTACCTACTTGCATTTCTATCTCAAGTTTCTCATCTGTCTTTTTCTTATGTAATTTTGAAATAATCATCAACATTACTTGGGAAAATCGTAGAATTTTGAAGCCATTTCTCATCGCAAGCCAATGAAACAGTCAGTCAGCAAGTCTTTTAACGTGTATAGGACGTTTTTATCATGCAAAATGAAGGAGAGATTGATAATTTCTGAAAGTTTTTACATTGTAAAACCGATAGTGTAGTGGCTTTCATCAGTACCTTTTCATATGACGTAGGCGTAAGCAAATGTTTGTATTACACACGTCGCATTAGCGGAAGATCTTGACATCCCAGCATTCTTCAAATGCCATGTGACAGGTGTTATGGAAAACTTCTGTGGCCTTGGAAGTGTGTTAAGTTCAGTTGGCAGGATAGACAAGGTGGAAGTGGATGCATTAAACGGTGTAAGAGTGGGTTCAAAGCAGGGTGAAAGTAGTAGGAAGGACAAGGAGAACCACCACAATGATGATACATTGGCGCTTGTCTGTGCTTAATGATGCATGCACATAACCAATCACCCATTTGAAGAGTTGATAGGCTGCATCAATTGATTGTGGAGGGTTGTATTACCGAAAATCACACTAATTCTTTTAAGTTACTTTGGTACCAGAATCTGCAATGTGTACTAAACACCATAATTGCTCCCAAGACCTTTAAAGTCAGTAAAGAGTTCATTCCTCCCCCCAACCCTAAAAGTTGAAGGTGTGGTGGAAATGGCGACGGCATTTAAAAGTTCACCGATTTAATGTAACATTTCAACTCACTAAGGCTAAAATATGGCAGAAAATTTAACTCGTTTTTGTGCGAGTTGGTGCATAACTCCATGAATCGTTGAAATTAATTGGATTTTGTCTGTTCATTGTCATAGTTTTCGAGACCCTGTTTACATTATCACCGTTGGTAAACAAGAAAAGCAATTAAATCGCAAATCTAGTAAAGACTTTTTGTAATCCCATTTTTTCCACTCCATCAGTGCGCTTACTGCCCAAACCTATGTGTTCATTACCTACCGTGTGCGTGGTTTACTTTGTACTCTTTTTGAGGCTTGGGTTAGACAAGATCATATTTGAGGCAAATGGGGGCATACACACCAATACTTGATGCAGACTTCATGATTATAGACTGGCGTGAAGTGGACCTCAAAATATCTCCTTTGTGTTGCTCAAATAGCGGTTTGAATTACTGCGGTAAGTGAATCGCGAATGATGAACGTCCTGTAGACCTGATTAAGTACTCAAAATTCGACCGTTGCAATCTGGAGTTTTACGAGATCTTATAATGAGTAGGGAACTTCTCAATGTCCCTAAGCAACTCTTTCGCACTTGCTCACTTGAGGTCACTTTCTGCACTTTATACCCCTTAATTGTATTGGTATTCCTTGATTCTTCATCCAGGGTGCAAACAACAAATAAGGCTGTATGGTATTTTATTCAAAATCTTCTCTACGCTATTGGCAGAGGAAAGACATTTTCCGATGCATGCATTAACGCCTAAGTCGTATTTCCGATTGCAGATCAAGATTGGCATATAAGAAATCCAGAAAAAAAATTTTTCTAATTTCGCTTAAAGAGGATTGAATGTTTAATTTTTTTTTACTAAAATAGGACGAGGTGGGTGTGATGGGTGATTTGAGGCGAATGTGGAGTAAATTCTGCTAAAATTTAGTGATCAACGTGTCGAGAACGTTTGGTGATTTTTAAATTGGATGAAAAAGTCAGGGGATCCAAACAACTGGGTCTTCTCCACATCCATCAACAGCAGACGACACCAATCTTTAAGGACCATTGAATCAACTAAGAGAAAATCACCTTCCTCCGAGAAAATTTATGATCCGTAGTCCTCTGACAGTTCTTCAAGTGATGCTCTTTACTTTGTTGCTGCCATTGGACAATGAAATATAAAAGAGCCCAGACACCTGTGAAATAACGGGACGATAGAAACGGTAACTGAGTGAAAATCTTAAATTCGTTTCCAGATGAAAGGAACATCATTGTGGATGGATGGACTCGCGTTCAAAAATGTATGCGTTTCCATGGCCTCAAAAATGACATTTAAATGGAAAGAAAAAAGTTACCCACACGCCGTCAGTCCTCGTGCCTCATTACTTGAAGGGGGTAAATTGAAGAGAAGATACTAACCGATCGGGCTGTGTTTGGGACTCCAGGCTCCCTTGTTATTGCTAATTTTATTCATCAGTGATCATTTTATCACAGAAAATTTGCGACTGCATTGTAGGTGAAGGGTGTCTGTGAGATCATTTCTGTTATTTACTGCTATATATTAAAATTGTCGCATCTGCCTGCTTTGAGACATGTGATGTCTCTGAGGCTCTGAGAGGCTTCAATGGAGTACTTCATTGGCACGGAATTTTGTAGCCTCTGTCGTAGCAGCGTTAGTCTTAGGGAATCAAGATGAGAGTGAGGCTAAGAAGCTTACCTTAAAAATATGCACTAAGTTTGGAGCTATTTGGGAGGAGTTGGCATGTGTCTTAATAAAATAACCTCTCCGTGTTGTCCATGCTTTAATTTGACGCTGTTTCAGTTTACAGGCGGCACTGTAGTTTGGATTGTTTTCACTGACTCTTAAAGACTTGAGGCACAGTTGCCCCAATTCTTTCTCTTTTTTGACCTGTTTCAACGGCAGTTTTGTTGGTGCCTAACGTAAAAACAGCCTGTCTCTGAGTGAGATCATCAGTTGAGCTGCGATTAATCCTACATTCAATTCGACACTTTGTTGCCTCTCTTATCGCTCCACTAATCACTCGTGGCAGAGTAAGCAGCGATGGGTGCTTTCCGCGTGATATACTCCGCCATTGCCCAATACGTCCAAATGCACTTTTTGAAGAAGTTTGAGGCAAACTTCTAATGTTTAACATCAATCTGGAATCTATTTGTCAACTTTGGAAAATATTTATTCTAGATTCGTACTAAAACTATGGTAAAATAATCTGGGCACTACCAAGTTCTGAAGATTTGAATCGGTGAAACGCTGGAGTTTATTGAAATTTGGAGTCAAGTAAATCAAAAATAAAACAGTAAAGAAAGTTTGGAGTAACTTGTGGGAGCGAATGTCATTCTAGCCTTTTAACCCAAAGACTAGCTCTCCAAGACCGTAAAGATCCTTGCATAGTAATGTGAAATCACAAAAGTTATTCACATCTCATAGGTTTTGCTATCTTTATAATGACAACGATTGGCCCTACTTTGTTTTCCAGTTAGGTGTGTCACATATACGTGACCTGTAGGGTCATTCGGAAAATTCTAGACTTTATGTCGTTGCCGCTTGGAGCGGATGTACTGCGAGGCCAAATATGGCAGTAACGCAGAGAGAGTTAAGGTTCTTATTTTAATAAGTCCAAAACACACTTGTTTTCTCTACTTATGCAGCCGCTGGCACTGCTCCTGGTGGCTTGTGTCTTCTGGCATGTGATCAAGTACCGCCAACTGCAGTACTACCGCAAGCCGGGCAGCTTGCGACCTAAGTCGGGCATTATCTTCCCTGAGATGACCTTCAGCACTATGAACGAGAAGCTTGTAAACTTCCTAAAATGCCTCGCCAATTACACCTTCTACAAACTCGGTTTGGAGGTAAGTTACAGCCTTGCTTTGGATATTTGTATTGCTTCATGAAACCTAAGTGAAAGTTTAGTTGGGAAATCAATGTGCCTCGAGAAAACCTAGCAGTTTATTATTCCTCATTTCCATTGCATAAAAGTATGAACGGATAATTCATTCGAATAGCGCTTGTTAATAATCCAGGGCTTAACCCTTTCAGCTATTTGTTTACCTTAACCTGATTCTAGGTCTGCTCTTTTTTTCCCACCTGCACTGAACAAATCCATCGACACACATGTTAGTGCGTGGTTAACATAGCATTACGTGGCGGAGGTATCGAGGTCAAAAAGTTTAGCCACCCTCCCCTCCAATTGGTTGATTGAGGTTACAGTCAGTCGTCCCCTTGGACACGGGGCCTGCGATTTCATCGTTTATTTTTAGGTGTTTCTTAATCGCATCGTCCACACTTCTAAAAGTAAAGCGAAATTTCGTGGAATGTATGGTCTCTGTCTTCTCCTTGTTGTCGCCCTTGGTTACTCAAGTCCTTCTGAGGATTTTTTGTATTTAAGGAAAGACTGAAAACAAAGCACTTCAAGGAGCGGTAGTTGCTTTGATTTGTTCTCTGCAGCCTCTTCCTTCACCTATCCACTTTGCTAGCACAACAAAGTCACTTTATGACAACCCATCTCTCTCGGCATCCAACGGGCGCCAACTTTTAGAAATTTCAGATTTTTGTGCGTGATAATTGTGCTCATCGTTTGCACAGAAAGGCACCATTTCTCATGTATTTTCACGGCAGAATCGGGTGTTCTACGCCTGGAATGCTCACAGTAATTGCTGCCAGAGCTATGGGTTGGGTGGATATCTGCAACTTTTTACGTCTCCGTCGACAAAATACTTTGTTCATCGCCAAAAATCGGTGTCTGCACACTCATCGCAACTGCTGCCTGCTATCGTGATTAGTTCTGTCTGGATTACCCGCTGGCATGAGTACCGCCTGTTGCCAGTAGTGGTAGGAAATTTCCCTCTCCTTTATCTATTACCCCATCGGTGGCACTTTTTAACCGTGAACCTTTAAAGTCAGTAGTCTTGGTTTGGCTCGAGCTCCCATGCATTTGTGGGCTGGTCATCTCAACAATAAAAGAAGACTGTATCGAAACCCCAACCGCGATGCTGTCTTGTATGTTAATCGCTGATCCAAAAATCGTTCATTATTGCCGTTAAAATAGGGACATCTCCTAGAGGAGATTAATTTATCTTTCATCCCCATCAAAGGATTAAAAATGAAACTTAGTTTCCGTCAGGCCTCTGGCAGACCTGAGAAAACTTAGTATTTCATGACTGTATTTGCACGAGGGCGGATGCATTTATGTAATGCCCTTGTCCCGGTGCTTAACCGTGTGCTTCAATGATATGCTGGCTCCACATTGCACAACTTTCGGTTTTCTGATCTCACTCCGTCTCACGAATCCACTCACATAAGCATGCACAATAATTTGGTAATTTTGAGGAAATCAGAGGAGTGCTAATTCCCTCAGCTTTTTTGGTTGATTTGAAAGGGTTATAGTGGAGGAAAAACGCTTGTTACCATGTCTCCCTTAAAAAAGGCATGTTGACTGGCTCTAATCGACGACTCTGCATTAATTTGCATTTAAAAATTGACCTTCCTCCAGCTGACTCCACTTTTTGATGTATTTTGTTGGCACCGGTTCTGGGGGAATTATTGAGAAGTGCATTCTTTAAGGCTGTAAATCCAGTGCGACGGTATATTTCTCATAGACATTGTGGTCTTTTGCCAAAAAATGCTGTGTTTTTGGCTGAATTAAGAAGTGTTGAATTTGCTACTATTTTTTGACGAGATTTGATTCCTCTAAACAAAACACTGGAACTAAATCAAGGTAATTCTTTGCCTCCTATGGTTTGATTATCAAAAACATTGTTCGTTTTTCGATATAGGTCGCTTCAATGAGTGGCTGTAAATTGTAGAAAGTTGTAAAAACCGTACATTATAAAGCATAGAGTTTCGCTTATCTTCAAAGCTGTGGAATCTTCTTGTAACTGGCCATACGACTTTTGCAATGGTGGGGTAGCAGGACGCACTCCCCAAAAATGATTTCACGAACTTGATTCTGATTATGAATCACTCAGGATAGATGGATCACGTTGAGAAAGGCCTTTAATTCCCAATAACCACGAGAAAATGCTTGGCATTGTTGCGTTAACTCAAGACTAACGTTTCAAGGACAGTCTGCTCACACTTAAATGGCAAAGTCTAACTACCAATAGCTGTTAATGAGCCTCAGATTGGAATCATAAAACGCTCCGTTCCCTGTAGATACTGATTGAATGGCTAACATTTGCACTGTAGCATTAAGCGAAAGGATGTATAATTTGCCACCATCAAAAAATCAACTCAATCTCTTTCAGCGCTTCGTCCCACGAAGGCTATGCTTCCTGTGTTTGAAATTGACGGATTTGGGATAAAGCCGTTCACTGCAAAATTTCTGCTGATGGCCATAAAGCAGATCTCTCTCTGTAAATGCAGCCAGGGGTGGTGAATTAGTTGGGAGAATGCTCTTCTTGTGGGACAATACAAAACCCACCGCAAAATTTACTTGCGAGAAGATTTGCGCTTGAGAATTGACCAGCGATATCGCTCCACTCTCTGTATTCTGATGTTTTTTTCAAGTGTTGACCACCTTTCCTTGTTAATGGGTAGTCGTATGTGAAATAGAAGACAGTTGGGAAATATAATTAAAATGGGAGCAACGGTTGCTAGGGCCAAATTTTCGGCTTCTAGGGATAAAACGTTTTATGCAAGTGGAATTGGTATACCTTTATCGTTTTGAGAAAGGACGAGAAAAGTACACCAAAAATGGCCACTTTGTGTACCCGGGACAAGGGTCTGAACCACTATGCTCACACACTACTGAACTTGGGGCTTTTATCAGTTGGAATATAGTTTGATTCAAGATTTTCATTCAACTTACCTACGTCCTCTTGTGTGATTCTTCTGTTGTCGCAAATAATCGCCAGGTTACTTCATACATTGGAGTTGTGGGTGAACTCGGTTAAGAATGTAACACGTCCTTCACATTACAAACCGGTGAAGATGAATTTGTGTCCTTGGCTCACGCATGCACCTGCCCACAATACTCAGTATATTGAAGAAGGCTGTTCATTCAGCTCAATCTCCGAGTCGCAACTCCGATTTATCTTCAGAGGCAGCTGGTTCTTTGGACAGTAGGTTTCAAAGGACCCGTTCAGGCATTCTGTTCATGGAAGGATGATCCTCTAGTCGTTTCATACCCATATTTGCCCTGACATAACCTTTTCTGCCTTAAATTACAACAGCTCTTCGCTTGTTGAAGAACCGGATACTTGGTACTCACTAGCAGGTGAAATTACATTTCTTTTGTTAAGATAACTATCGGCAACCTCTCGTCTATCCTCCTTGCGTACGAGTGTTGCTTTTCAATAAATTTCCGTGAATGCATTTATTAAGCCATAGTGGAAAATTTATGTTAATTCCTCACCGAATTAATTGGTAAGTAATCAGCTCAAAAGATGAGGTGTTACTTTAATCGTCTACCAGTAGCATATCTCGTGTCGAATTATCTGGCATGAAAATCTGCCGCTTAGGTGTTGCTGAGAGTTTCCATCTTGTAGATATGCTTTTGCGTCACAGTCATCGCCGCCTGCATTCGTGTGGATGCTCTGAGTGTACTCTACCTCCTCCTCATGCTTCTCTTCCTCTTCACTCACCGTCGAGACGTCTGCTCTCGCCTGTGGCCTGCCTACATGACTTTCCTTGGTGTCCTTCTGGTCATCCAGTACGCTGCCTGTTCGCAGATCCCCTCTGTTCTTGTCGAATGTGAGCTTCAATCCTCCCGTTGTTATAAGCTTGGGGTTGAAGTCCTATTTTATGCTCACTTTGTTAATGGTAGATGTGAAAATTACAATTAGTCTATAGGAGATACAAACTCTTCGATGTTGGCACTGATTTGCCTAGCCTTCTATAAGTACTTTGTGCATCACAAGTTTACTTCCAATGGTGGCTTGATGATTCTTTGCGATTTTATAACCTGAAACTTGTGATTTTGAGGCCTTCAAAGCTAGTTTTGGTGAGGCAATGAGTACTTTCTTGAATATGCCGCACCTGTGGCAGAATCAAGGCTTGTTTCCATAGCTAAAGGTGATGTAGAAAATCCTGCAAGCCCGCTTTTATGGATCCCTAAAATTTGCCTATGGTGTGGCATAGCAGTGCAGGCATCGTTAATACGATTACCAACTTGATCTCTTGTGTCAATTGCGTTCTTTCTGTCATTTCTCACGCTAAATCAGCACAGGTTTCACGTGATCTTCAAACTCATTCCTGTTAGTTGTGCCTGGTGCTTTTGACGAGAAGCTGCATTGGAATTCTGCTCCTTATAATTTCAATCAGAATCAAGGCGATTATGGAATAGTTGGTACATTTTTGGATCAGTTTGGAATCCATTTTAGTTAAGTTCTTCTACCTAAATGGGGACCCTATCGTCATCGCGGGGCTATTTAGAGTCAGACCATTTATTTATTTTTACTATCAGAAGTGTTGAGGCTTTTAACCGGCTGAAAGTGGTGCCTGTGCTGTGGTAATTGTAACCAGTACCAGCTTCTTGCTGTAGATATTTGCATGACAGAATCGATTGGTGTCTTCTTGTGATTTTTTAACTAGGAGAATATGAAAGGCCCAGATCATCTGTGGGACGATTTGACAGGTTCATATGTTCTTTGATGTAGTTCACAACGGTCACCTTGTCGCATCTTGCAGACCCTTGTTACATGCAATCATTTATGCACATCACTGACCATAAGATATGCGTCCATCTTCCAGTACGGAACTCTTCGTCTGTGCTCTGCCATTTCCTTCCCGTTTTGATCAGGTGTTGGTTAAGGGAACCTCCAATGGATCTGATTTGATCTTGTCTTCTTCGCAAATTGAATTCCAAAGCCGCAGAAGCTTTTCCTAACGTCAGTTAATGGGACATTTGTCTTAAATATTTTCACTTGGGTGATTTATTCCCAAATGGTTCACTATTCTTATCAACTGCGAAGAGATGCGAGTTGCCTTCCACACATTAAGCTTCAATTAACGTACCGGAAACAACTTTCAAAAATTTGTAACGTATATAATTAAACATTTCGTTCAAGCCTATGTCACATGGCAGTCATGGTGGAAGCTGTCAACCAAATAGATCCCACATGTTGTGCATTAGTAGCAGGTGGGAATTGGTTTCAAGGGCCCTCAAGTTGTTCACCTATCTCACATGTGTTTTGAAAACGCTCAACGTGTGATAGGATCACCAGCGGACTTGCAATGGGGAGTGGCTTTTATATTTCCCCATATTCCTCCGATACTTCTCCAAGCGATCACTACCTTTCTGCTAGGTGGATAGTAGGAATATGTATGAATCAGACGGAAATGGAGGCCATTAGACCTGCAACACTGTTCGCTTATTCCCTGGCATGTCGTTTGTACCTATTTGTCTACTTCGTTAGTAGTAATCAAGTTATTCGTGTGATCGCATAACTTTGGTGGTGTTGAATTCCTCACTTCGTCACTTTTTGTCTTCCGTCCAACTCTAATGCGGAAGACGTTTCTCAGCAAGCAGTTGCACTGATTGTAAAGGAAGAACAAGCGCAGATTTTTTTTGTGTCCCTTTAGCATATGCATTATGTGCCGCAAAAAAAACAAGCCGCACCAATGGAAGAATTCAAGACATTTTTACTTGATGTGAAGGTAGGCTAAAAAAATTAAAACCCTCGGAAGTTTCACCAGTAGGTAGGTGGCAGATGTGTATTGCGTTACGGTGTGGTTATCACTAATATATAAGCTCATTGAATGGTTTTTTATTCACTTTACCGCCCCCAAACAATGAGTGCACGCATTTATTGTTCTCACACGACCGTAACATCGTATAGTCTCAACAGTCTCCTTGTATTGTTGGTGGAATCCATTCTGTGATTTCTTGAACTTACACTGGGTTTTATGTTTCCCCTCATTAATCAAAATGACCTTAAAAGTAAAGAATCGCGTGGACTTTGTCGACCAAAAGTTCATCACTACCTGCGCATAGTGGAGCGGTGAATTCACCTTTACTCTGTTATTCAGTCTTCCTTGCTATTGCAGCAGATTTGCCGTTTTACATCGGTGCTATTCAAATTCTTTTTTCTACTAATAGCTGTGCATTAACCTTTAACGGTATTGTGGGAAGTGATTTACCCTCCACAACGGTCAGTAATTTGGTCTCTCTAGCTAGTCTCAGTATCTGGCCTACTACATAGCTTGTCTCATTTACTCTCCTTTGTGCTAAGAACTACACGTATTCGGCAGACCACAGTTTCGTCGGTCAAAAATGTTTTATGTCCGAATAAATACTTCGTTCTTTCATGTACCCGGGCTGATTCTTCTGACTTGCCTCCTTAATGTCACACGATTGCTCCGAAATAGCGATAATTCAAAATGTACAATCATGGAAAATAGTGGAGGCGATAAAACAGTGATGCTAATAGCTTTTGTCTCCATCATAGCCACAACACGTATTCCGAAAATCCTCGAGTCTGGTAGGCCGATCTATCAATTATTTTTGTTGTGTTTATTGGCTTGTCACTTCTATCGTCGTTGTATGTTCGCGCATCTCCTTTGTGCTTTACTCGGATAAACGAATAAATTATCGGCTGTTTGATTGAGTGGGTGACTCTTTGGGTGATTATGCCAGTGAATAAATTGACTTTGATTGATTAATAGACTATTTTAATGGACGGATTAAATGGACAGCTAGTTGACTGATGTGTGAATGGATGCGTGCAAGGATGGTTGAATAAAACAAGTAATAAAAGAACGAGAAATTAAATGAATGACTCGACGAATGAATGAATAACTGGTTGATTAAGTGAATGAATGCTTGATTAATTCGATTGACTAACTTACTGCTTGTTTTTTGCATTTTTCTAGCTCTTCCCTGGGACTCCAACGACAACGAGACAATCCGTCTACAGCAGTGGCTCTTCCTTCCTTCCACTTCTCACCAACCTGACCCTCGCAAACTTATCGGTAAATTTTACTTCCTGCTGTTTTCGTCCCAAATTAAAAATGTATTATGCATTTCCTCATCTGTTGCTGTCTTTTTGTAGTGGACTTCCTGCAATTCATGCTGGTGGCCGCACAGTGGCGTGTATTCAAGTTAGAACAGAGACCAGATTGGGAAAGCTACGGTGGGGGTAGCAACACTCCCGTCCTCACCGACACTCTGCCCGGCCCGGATGATCGTGATTTTATCAGTACGAAGGAGTAAGTCCTCAATGATCTGACTGTAGTCGAGGTCAGATCGAGTTTATACAGCTCGCATCCCATGGTCCCAAACATACTTAAACCTCATTTACTGCCTGGCCGATATTGGTAGAATCGGGAATTCTAAACTTTAATAATTGATTAATTTTGGATCAGTAGAATACTTGGTTTTGGGTTTTCTTGTTTATAGTTGATCGCCTCTTAAGGCTACTCTGATACTTGATTTGCAGAAGCTCCTAAGTAGAAATACTGAAATCAAAAAAAGGTCTTATCCGGGAGGTGTTTGATTGCAGTTAGCTTTATGCAAGCCCTCAATAGGAGGATAAACATCATCTAACTGTTTTGAATACGTGACCGTTTGCTAATGGTCATGTCTGGGTCGTGTATGGCTCTTGACCCCTTGGACTGCAGTGGGATTACGTGGCTATAGCTACGATGTGTGCTAAAAAGGCCTATTTTTTGTGGGTACCTTCTCAAATTTTTTTGTGTGGTGCGTTGTTACAATAAATTAGTAAATAATTTTAAAGGCACTGTTATTGTGATTTGACTGAAGTAAACTGTTGCATGCTGTGTTAAAATTTCTATGTCGATTGCAGATGTCAAAACAAACCAAAATGAGTCGTTATACCTAATTCCTCTTTTTTCTATCAGTGGGCTCTCAAGGTCATTCGTCTTGTTGCTCCTAAAAAGCTCAACTGGTCTCCATAGCTGGAGTGGAACTAAAAACATTAAGTGTCCATTAAGGTAGGCGGAAGTTGGAATAATTTTTTCACGAATGAAGGTGAACAATGGAGGACTCGTCTCGACTTCGCCTTGAAGAATTGAAACAAATTTTGTTTAAAACTCTCGTGCCTTTTTTTCCCATTAGCCACGTCTCGAGATTGGTCAAGCCAGCTAACCTTGTCAGGATGGAAAAGGTGGGCAGCAATGAATAAAATTCTGATTTAATTTTGAAGCACTAATGGTTGCTAGTTTAAGCATGCCTCTTTTTCTATTGAGTGTTTTTCAAGACTATCCGATCCTTTATTGACTGCTCTCGTCTGAGCTGTGCAGTTTGAAGTGGACTGCTTTCAACCGATACAAGTGCCAACATCGATGGCTTAGTTGTCACGAGTGTCCCCTATTTTGGAATTTTTCACTAGAAATCACATCATTTTCTTTGACTCCCCAGATCCTACCTGGATTACATGCGTCATGCAGTTTTCTACTGGTCGTATTGGCTCAGTCTGGCCATTGTCTTCGCCACGGGGGTCAGTTGGATCACACTCTTCTGTCTGGGTTACATGATCCTCAGTTTCATTTACCTCTGGATGGGCCAAAACGTCATGATGCGAAGGCGTTCCAATCTTCTTGCCTCGTGAGTTTTGTCTGAGATGACTTCTGCTTCCTAACGCTGTATTGTATCTCTGTGCACCCCGCAAGTTGCATTGTTAAACACCTTTTTGTTGATATTCCTCAATGAAACTCATATCTAGGTTGACGGTAATTTGGATTCCCTAATCGGATGGTAATAATCAAGACTCGTCGAATTCCTCAAATTCATTTATTCTTCTGATGATCTGCTTTTTTGATTCCTTATCCTGAAAAGATGGCTCCTTATTTGTCCAGCGATTCGCTAATCTAACTTCAGTAGCTCATCTACTGACACGTAGAGCCTTGTAAAATGCTTGTGTTATGAAGGATTTCAGCCCGTCGATGTGAGACACTCTATTGCTTCCACCGCTGCTTTCCTCTCATTTCGAGTTTTCATGCAATAAATCGTCTCTTAAACAAACTCGAAGGTGCTCCCATCCTCGGGGACATACGGGCTCGCTTTTGATGTGTCAAGAGAAGTGTTTAGCAACGTTGGTGCCATGACATGATTAGTACTAAGTCTCTAGATTTAACTGGCTGAGCCAGAGTTGGACTTTGGCACTTCCTAGTTGGGAAAAAAGGTGATTCCATCCCTGAAGTATTGGTTTTTTTCTCCATCCAATTCTGACCTTTTACCTTCAAGGGTATTATCATCCAAATGGGCAATAACTTGGATTAATCTTCCCAAAAATAAAATACTTTAGATTATTTGATGAAAGAATAAGAAAGCCATCTTAATTTTTCTGGAGACTTCAGTAATGCTTTGATATGTGTCACTTTACACCTGGCAATTTCTCGGACTTTTTGGTTATCAAGTCTCACACATCGGATGAATGGGTAAAACAATCATGAATTGACGTAGAACATTAGAAAAAAGCCTGTTTTTTGTGTAGACTCCACCTTGGATCTATTCCCCCGCTGTTTTTTTTGTCATAAAAAATGAGTTTCTATGTTTGCTTCTGTCTATTGTACATCACTCAATTCATCCATCCACCGTAAGGTTTTATTTATTCATTCATTTTTCGTAAAAAATGGTGCTGTTATTTTTGCTTTGTGAAGGTAACGCAATGCTAACCTGTCATTTATTAAAGTTGACAAGCCGAGAAGGGTTTTGACAAACAGTCTGTAGAATCTTACACCCTTTAACCCCCAGTTATCTTGGGTAAGTACATTTTTTGGAAAAATCTCCTTCTCCATCGCAAACAGAATTAATTGATTGTCAAGAATTTATTTAATCCCACCGTTTCTCCCCCTCAGCGATTTTCTTTTTTTGTTCCACGTGAAAAGGACACAAACAGTGTCTTTTTCCATTCACGCATCACAGACCCTCATGGAAAACTGTCGAAATGGAGCGCTGCTTCCTCGAACTTTATCACGAGTTTTCCTTCTTTTCCCCACTTTATTAACGAGAGGCTCTTTATCGTGTTTGGGAGCCGGTGTTGTAGCGTCGGGGCTGCTTCTGAAAGCGCTATGCAAAGTAGCGGACTTAAAGTGGGCATTGCGGCGCCCGAGTCTTTCTTGAAGATGAAAGGCGTATGGGTCTGTGTGTACCTTTATTACGGGTGCACAAGAGAAGGATTGGGAGGTGTGGCAACAAGATCAGTGATTGAGCCCTTGCTTGGCTGCATATCCACCCTCCTATCCCCTCCCTTCTCCTCTTTTTTGAGCGCGGTCCTCGTTGCTTCTTCCGGATACTTCGCCGGCTATCACGGCATAGTCGGTGCTTTGAAAGCCACTCACATTGACCTTGGACTCCAAAGTCACTGGTGTATCTTGTAGATTTTAGTGGATTTAGCAATCTGCCCTCTTCGTGACGGTTCACTGGTTTGGAAATTGCTCAGTATGGGGGCGTTTTAGCCATTCATTATCTGCAGAAATAGCTTCCCCTCTCCATCTTTCCCACATATTTACACCTAACATCTTGCGATTATCTATGTGTAACTTAACTTGATTTGGTATTACATGAATGTTTTTGTCCTCCTTGCGGTCAATGAGGTCAAATCTAATTTGGGAAAGGACTCCCCCTATCGGTATTGAACCAATGAAAATGTTAATTTAATTGCCGGTATCTAGGATGACCTCCAACTTCGCTGTTTATGTTGGTAATATTCAAGACGTACATAAAACTTACGGATTAGTATACGTCATAAGTAAACTCGAGTATTTTGGGTGAAATTTGAGTAAATTTTTTATCAAATAGTCAAAAAGTTTATGTGCCTTTCTGCTTGCCACTCAACATCCACCTATTCTGATTAAGCATGGATGTTCATCAATCTGTCAAAACGATACTCCTTGCTTCCTCCTCATTTAGAACTTTTATATCATAAAATGCCGATTGAAAAAACCTGATAGTCCTAACTTGTCTGTTTTACAAATCGAGTTCAGCTTATTTTCAAAGATACGCTTGCAGAGTTTACCAGCCAGAAAAATGGTATGACGCGAAGAAAGAGTCTCCATTTTTCACTAGAAATGAAAAAAATAGATGTCGCTCTTTCAGTAATGTTTGACTTGTGTCGATGCAACAATTTGTTGTGGTGAAAGCCTCCCAGCAAATGAATTTTGCATGCAGTGCATTAACGACAGATGACAAGTTGCATTCAGAGGCTGACAAGTCGTTCCTCCCTTCATTACGTAACCCCGTGAAAACGCAAGGTGTGCATCATGTTGTTTTTCTTTGCGTTGGAATGTTAGTCAGCCGTAATTATCACTGGTTACCCCTCAACGACTCGTTCACTATCAAACTCTGCCCACTCCCTCTCGTCTCCTCCAGAAGATAGTATACTTGCTTTCCTTGCATTGTTTCTTGTTGGAGGCCAAACGGCGATCACGACTGAAATCTATTTCCCCAACAGGGCACAACCTGGAGGTGTACATGGATAACGTCTCATTGAAGAGTAGCCAGAACTATTGAGTCAGAAGGGCAGACCTCTTTTTGCAAGCCAACGAATAGCCTTACTTCTTATGTTGCATAACCTACTGTTGAGTTGGTTTGCGCTCAAATTAGAATGGGAAAATGTTAGGACAGTGCTGTCCCACCTTATTCACTGCCTCTCTCCTTCCTTCCCATTTCTGGAGTTTATTACCACATTGTTTTAGCATCAACCAATCACATTACCTCATGCGGAGTGGAAAAGGCACTTTCGGAGAGGGTAAGGTAGAAACACGAGAAAGGAGCTTTACTTCTAGAGGCAAAACGTTTCATAGAGGCGGCATTAACACCCAATCCTACCTTGCATTTGGAATATGCTGGGAAATTTTCTGCTCGTCTATTTCTCACTCCTTTATCGGTTATTTTTTAAACAAGGGAATTTTAATTCACAATTCTCCTTACGCATCCTTAGTTTGCTTGGTAAATTTATTGTCCCCTTTGAGTTTGCGGATGGATTCATGGTGCTACCTTTTTTACTAAGTATTTCTGCCTTTGGGAGACAAAACATTGGTTCGAGATTTATCCACAGACCATGTAATCTCTCCTTTCTTCCTCTCTTCTCTGTTCACCATGATGTCGGAAAAACGTAGATTAGACTACTAATGCCTTTAAGTGCACAGTAGTCGTCCAAACTCTCTTATCTTCGCTTAAAAAATCGACGAAATGTTATCAAGTCCGCTTTTTTATTTCTCTCCAAAACAAATTTTAAAAGCAAACTAATTATCAGAAGATGTTTGCACATCGATTGCACCTTTTTCCGCCTCTTTGATGCCCACCATTAAAGTATTTTTAAATCCACCTTATAGCAAAGCCAGATAATTTAACAGCACTTTTTTGCTGAATAGGGTGGACAGATGCAAATTTATCACCGTCGGTACAAGTCATAGCTATGTGGCCAGTTAGCAGTGAACTCTGGAGCTAATTCAGGAAAGTGGGAGAGTCAAAAGCTGTTGAAGAGACTACTGGGAGGCTGTACGTAGATATTCGATCTGCCCATGGAGTGTCTATTCAAATAAATGCGCACAAATTCTATTCATCCTCAATCGAGGTGGCTGTGCATCAAACTAATTGAATGCATTTCGGGTCTTTGAAAGCCTTCATCTTACTATATAACTCGTTTGGTTTTGTATTATTTCTTTTAGGTGGAATGTGATCGTGGGATACAACTTCTGTGTGATTCTGGCGAAGTGTACCCTTCAACTGATGGGCTGTGTCTACTGGAATCGTCTCGTAGGTCATCGTATCTGTTGGCTCATCCAACTCTTCGGCGTCAGTTGTATGAACCCCGTTGGTTGGAATGACTACGCTGGCTACTGTAGGTCCCCTATTTCACTGGTGAAAAGGTCTGGTTTGAGCTTTTGCTCTCAAGGTCACATTCTTACTGGTTAGACGCTTATAACCGGAAGTCTTCGGACAGTGTAAAATTTGAAATTAACTACCATGAAAATGGACGGTGGGATAATTTCCGATTCGACTAGTATGAAAATCACGCTCCTATTGGTTGGAACAGTCGCTATTGCTAGTTGTTGTCATTAGCCGACCCTTTAACTGTTCGGTGGATTGGTCCCAACAATTATACTAAACTACTGCCTCATTCAACATAAATCTCCTATTCTTTTGAAAAACGCTTTTATTTATGGATTTCCCAACTAAATGTGAATTTAGTGACAGCCTGCAAATCACCTTACCACCTCTATCCAATTCATTCACTTGGACATCTTCATTGTCTGAAAAAGATCTGACAACTTTAAAAATGTAGCCGATCTGTTACAATCGTTTCGCATATGGTTTGGGTGGTTCTTGTTCACTTGCGGTCGACCAGACAACACTTGAATGTTTCCTGTAGTTCTTAAATACCATAGGGTAGATTGAATGTATCAGCTGTTTGTTTCACCTTGGCTTATATTGTGTGGCTTTGCCATTTGTCCAGATTATTTCCCAACAGTTAATGCTCTTGAGCTGTTTTAAAGGTCCTAATGCCATCTGGACGTGTTGCTATCGCCTAATGTAGCAAAGTTGCCCCTTTATTGATGGAAACAGCATCTTTTATTTCCCACTTATCCACTGCTGATTGAGCTTTTGCATCAACGACACAGCATTTTGCCTCCAAGACTGCTCTTTAAGGCGGAGAAAGCTTTCTCAAACTCATTTTAGGATGTCAACAAATGGTGATTTGGTTTTAAAGATAATCTCTTTTATTGGTGATTGCTCTCTTAGCAATAGGTGAATATGAGCGAAGCAGTTGAGGTCACTTTTACTGTCATAAACTGCTGTGTGAACACGGGTCCTGTTGCGATAGTGCAATCAAGTCTGCAGTGCGTATGCCTTTATTACCGACCTCTATGAGTAAGCTGGGGGTACAGCGCGTGTGTTCGTGTCGCCTCGCTGAGTTCGTGGCACACACCGAATGGCTCCATTATTGCGTATTTATAGCACTCTAATTGGTCTCGGTCTTTGAACATTTAAATTAGGCGAATTAAGTGGCGTAGTGGGTTTCGAGACGTTCAAGAATGTTCGGGGGCTGGGCGTCAAGAGGAGTCTTCTGGAGCTGTAGATATTTTCCGTGCGTATCGGTTATTATCCTTTAGCAGCTCTTGCGCTCTTTACTATGAGTCTGTCTATTATTTAATTCCATTTTTACGATGAAATATCGCAGTTTGCTAAGTTAGTGCTGTTTGGGTAGCGTTTGTGATCAGTGCCCCTTCGTGGAGAATGCATTGCCACGTGGTCGCTCTAAGTCATTATTCTGCTTTACAAATTGTGCATGATTAGACATTCTAATAGTTGCAAATGCATTGAAAATCGTCAAGGAATGTTTACCTTTACTCAAAATAAACAGATTTTCTACTAACAATTGACATCTTAAAGTCGGTCCCCTATTGGTTAGGTTGGTTTATGTTCATTTTACACCCATTTGCTGCTCTAGAACAAGGCGAAAGAGAGTGGCAGGTTAGAGCTGAACTTCGTTGCTATCAGCAGCCTCTGAATTCTCTAAAGGGATGGGTTGAGGTAAAAATGAATCCCTTTTTATTATTATTGCGTATCACCGGAAAATGCTATCTCATTCGGCGTGATTTCAGTCAATTCAATTGGGTCGCTAAGGAACTAAAAAGATACTGCAGTTGTAAATTTTCTATCTGTTGTACCAGAGTCACGCTTCTACTAACTAGAAATGCGTTAGGAAAATGTGAAACCATTTAGACAGTTTATTTTTCGTTCTAAAACCTACCATTGAGATATCAAAAGCTCTTGCAGAATGATGTTTTGGGTTTGAGTTGACAAGACAATAAAAGGAATTTCCTCCCCATATTGAATGCCTCTAGTCTTGCGACGATTGAAATCATGTGAAAAATGTTCAATAAAGTACTTGAATTAAGCCCATCAACGGAAACATCAAGGTCACTCTCCGGTTGGTTAGGATGGCCGCTACCATCACAAAATCCAATTCTGGTTGGCTGGAATGGATTCAGGGATTCTTCCATAGCCGCGGCGGCTTTTAATTAATTGTAAGAACCTAAAATAATAGCAAATAGGCGCAGAATACTTGGTACACGATGAACACCCTTACGTTAAAATAATGTTCCTACTTCTCCTTCTTCTAGCCACGGATATTGGCTGTGAGATCGTCTCAAACGGACTTCACTGGGATGTTGTGTGCTTTGCAGTGATCATTTTTCAACGCAAGATCTTCACTACCTCCTCCTTCCGTCATGTCGTGTTTGATCTCAATGTTCAGAGTTGTTTCGCTTCCAGGTGGGTTGTAAAAGGATAGCTTGTGGATAATTATTTGGTAAATGTACACTGGGTTCAAAGTAAGGTAGCCTGTTTGCGCGATCAAGCCTTTATCTGCGGTGACTAAATTACCTTTTATCTTTTCTTAGGTTAAGCACTTTAAAGGATCTAAGTAGTATTTTTGGTGTCTGACTATTTAATGTCTTAACTGAAGCCTCATGACTTACCACTTTTCGTTTATATTTTAAGTAGTTTTATATGCGGCCTTTTAAATGCATGATCTGTCCTAACGCCTCACTGCATTGCTTGGGTCGACATTCGTTTAAAATCAGACATTTCATGCCTACCAACCTTCGAGGTGATATTACAGCCCCTCCGTACGAGAATACGTACGGGATACAACCGAAGTGTACTCATTCGCAAAGCAGTCACAGGGACTGGGCGACACTTTTTAGCGGCTCCATTTCTTACGTTGGTTAATTTTAGTGGAACCACTTGGCCAGAAACAACACGGACAGTTTTTTTATCTCCCTAAACTATTTTGTGAGCGGTGTTTTCATTATGACTTGAGTATGTTCAAACCCAGTCCCGTTTTACGACTAGTCATTGCGTAGGAAACGATGTTTGATGGATATGAAAAGCTGGCGGGCGTCCGACAACCCTTCTACGCTTCAGCCATACCCAACTGACAGCTTCCTTCTGCGAAGTTTAGTGTGGTATGCAGACAACAAAAAAGCAAGATTATCCTCTTGGGATGGGTTTAAAGGCGTTATGAGGTACGCTGTTTTGGAGGTAGCTTTACTTTTGGCATGGAGAGGAGCAGAGGGACCAGTAATTTGGTCGATGCTTGCGTATTGTGGTAGTCGAATCACAGAGTGCTGTGACACCTCTACTATGTCCCCATCCTCTCCCCTCCCTCCATTCGTCCCACACACACACACGTCCTTATTCTTTTTTTCAGAGGCGCTTTCCTCATCAATCGCAAGCTGATGCAAGTAATCAGCGAGCAGAATACGCGTGAAAAGCGTGACTTGGAGCGAGTGCAACGCAAGCTGGATAAAATTGCGCAGCGCCAGAAGGAGGCTGGTAAAAATACGGCCAATATTAATGAACACTACATCTGTGAGTTCTTGCCTTGTTTCCTTTTCACCTTCATTCTCCTTCAGATGTGACTTTAGCGACAGTTGTGGGACACTTGGTTGCGTTGGAATGCGTCGTCATGTCCACGATCTAAAGAACGCTTGATTTTAGTTATTAGGTGAACGACGAATGCACCCGTTGTTGCTAACGGGGGGTAAGAATCTGTCAAAATAAGCTCAAAAACCTCAGTAATAGCCTTCTAAGGGGTTGATAAAAACAGGCGGTGCTAAGCAGCACAAAATGCCTCTTCGAATTCGTTGATCTTTTTCTGTAGTGATACGCTCGGGCGACTATTACCACTTTGAAGGAGATCCCGAGGACGAGGAGGCAGAGGACGAGACTACAACTACCGCCACCACAACAACAACGACACTAACGACACCATCATCTATCAGCGAAACCCCCTTGCCCCAAGTCCTGCCGCCCCCTCCAACGCATCAAGGCGCTAGGACACAAGCGTATCCACCGGAGAGCGTGCAGCGTCACCATCTGCGCGCAGTGTGGCCTAGCATCGATAGCGCTCCGTTGGATGCGCTCTCCAACTACACCTGTCCTTACAGTCCCACGCCAGCTCAGTTAGTGAAGAACCGTACAGAAGTTTATCCCGATTTGGGGGCCTTTTTAAATTCACTTTTCTTCTCCTTAGACCACGTCGTCCCGCCTCTCGAAACCCGTTTCGCGTCTCCTCTATGACAAGGCGTCGAGCTCCGCTGGAACAGACGGGTGGTGGGGTGCCACATCGTCGAATTACACGTGCTACTACTGCTGGTGGTTCATATAGCTCTTCTTCATCCTCCGCTGCCGTCGCAACCCCCAGTCAACCTGCTTTTCGCACCCACCGCCGGCTGTCCTCCTACCCAGAGGCCTTTCGTACCGCAAAGCGGCGAGCGCGACGAGCAGAGCAAGCGGCTGGAATAGAACTGCAAGCGCTATCTCCTACTACCACTGCAAAATCACCTTCGGTGGGGGCAGTGGCGAAGTCGGGCACGACACTTCTGCCCCGATCATTGGCAGCGTCACCGCCACCGAAGAGCCATCGACGCATCGCCTCAGTCGGTGCGATCGAAAGACACGACACTGATGCCACGTCGCCGTCGTTGACAACAGAGGTGGCAGATTCGGAGAGGGCGGATCGGGGACCTTCGATCGAAATCGAGAATACTCCACCGGTATTGCCTTTTTCCTGGTGTGGTTGCGTTCGTTTTAATCTGCTTCAGTTGTTATCTCCATCCTCGTGAATGACTAATTACTGCTGTCGCTTTTTGGCTTTTGTTACCGAATCCCCTTTACGTTATTTGCATCTGTCATCCCTTGTCTCGCATTGCAAATAACGTTTTATGTCGGTCGGAACAAGTGTAAAAGCCAGATTGGCGTTTGATTTATTCGTAGCGATGCGCAAATTCACTTGCTTTGGCTATATTGGCTTAACAACAGTGACTCTACATGTATCGTGTCTCTCGATCCGTTTTTCTTCTTTCTCCTTCGTTTCTACTTTAGTGTTGCTCATTTGGCCATCTCAGTTCTTCCCAGCTTCTCATGATTCACGACTTGTTTACGAACAGTTTCAACTCGTTCATTTCTCTCCTCTTTCTTGTCACCCATCACTTGGTCTAACTCGAGATAGTGGTATTCATGGACATCTGACGCGAGTCCTTTATCCTTCACAGGCTCGAATGTTTGCAACAAATATCGTTTTTTTCCTCATGAATTTCCCCCCATTTTCCCCACGTCATAAATTGGGCTACCAATTACTACAATCTGGTGCTGGAACCTCAGCGTTTGCGAGTGTCTGGGTAGATGTCTTTACTGAATCTGTTTGCGAATTTATTTGTGTTTCTGTATTAGTAACTGATCGACCTTGGCCTTCGAGGAGCTACCAGAACACTTAGAGTGCATTTCTATTTGCTTGATACAAGGGACTGGGTGAGAGCACGGCCTTCTGGAATGTTTGGTGAACTTCTAGGAAATCGAACAGAAATGCTTTTCCGGAGTTATAGGCATCTCCAGGTCCGTAATTGATATTTGCTAATCAGGAGAATTGAACGAGAAATTCCAGAGCATTCGAGAAGTAGCCGTAGAAAAGGGGACTTCTGGAAAACCGAAATAGGCATGTTTTTGGGGCTTTAGACGTCCTCAGCAAACCCGTTGCTAACATTGTACCTATCAGGTCTGCATTTGGCAATGTAACTATCGCAACTGGCCAAGAAGATCAGGTTTACCTCAAGAAACAATGAGAAAAACCGATTTAGAGTTCATGTGCATGGAGGATACTAAGGGTTGTTTTTCTCATATCCTTTCGAACTGATAATTTAATTGTTTGATAGTGTCCTTTGCCCCTAGATGTTTCCATTTTCCCCGTTTCCTTGATCTATCTTCCAATGCTGTCAATTGTACAAGTTACTTTTCTCCTTCTCCTTACTTTCTCGTTATATTGTCAATCATGCAGATAATTTAATCTCAGTGCTTTTTAATGGGAATGCAGGGGACATTTTCTTTGACAACATAAAGAAACTTGTTCGCTTTATGTCGGTAGAAGATAGAACCTCTGGAAAGCGTCTATCGGTAAATCAAGCGGCCGAAAATTCGATACATTTCTCAGTATATTACACCTCTCAATAACTTGTCAAGTAAATACTACATGCGTCAGTCTATCAATGGGATATTCTTTACCGTCCTCTTCATCACCTTCGGCCCACTTTGTACCCTCATATTATGAAATGCCTATTAAAGGAACCTGGTAGGTGTGAATTGAGCTTGTCCTTTTTGTGAACTCAGTTGAGAAGATGAGAGAGCCTCTCGCAAAATTTGTCGCATAATATTTTGGTAGGTGCGGTAGCAGTCGCACCGCCAGGCGACGCATTTTTAACGCACTTTAGGCTGCTCACTGGTTGCCTGACTGACTTGTTTGTGAGGAGGAATGGCTTTTATATCCAATTTGTGTTTCTAGAGCCGAAGCCTTTAATACGACTAGCATGTACCTCGTTGGAAAAGGCTGGTTGATTGTACTGGCAAACAAGTGGAATATTTTGGCTATTTGCTTTAAGTTGATTACTTTCATTGCAAAAATTGTTTGCTTTTGTATTTACTGAGCTGATTTGAGAATAATTTAAGCAAAATATGACCTCGCCTTCACTGAATAGTTTTTTATTGGTGTCCTTTGAAATTTAGTTCAGGAAACGAAGTTCTTCACCATTGGCATGAAGTGAAGGTCGGTTCGGCACCTTCATTTTGTCTTGTCTGTAGCATGAGAAGGAAGGGTGCATTTGAGCTTTTTTCACCTTCTCACCGCCCGAGAAATTTTTTCCCGAATGTACCTTGCTTCCGTCCTATTAACTTAAAATGTTGTGAGGTGCGTTGAAATGTCTCCCCCGTGATTCATCAAAATGGAACCATGTCGTAAATGTGATTCCCCTAGACTTTAAAGTCCCTGAATACATTTTTCTCGAAAAGATGAATGTTATCTCCGGGACGCAGCTCGAAACATTAAAATCCGGTATTTTAACCAGACATCACTTTCGAATATCGTTTCAGTAGTTTTAGAGCGGTTCTTGGGACAAAATTTCATCCCAGGTAGGAAACTGATAATTTGGAGGAAGTCTTTTCTCTTTAAAATCTGCGGAAAGAAGGCCGTTATGCTGGGTCGGCAGGAAGTTAAAAATTTAATAAGAATATTTCATCGTTTTCTGTAAAATTGGCAAAATTAAAATGGGTATAAAAGTTTACTTCTCCCTATACTCTAAGCAATACTTTATTTAATTCACGTTGGGGTTAGTAACGGGAAAAGGGGACGTTTTCCGCAGTCACCAAAATTCGCTAGTTTTGGCTATAAGCGAAGTCAATAATTTATCAAAGTGGAAAAGGATCAACCCACTTTTCTTAAAGAAAATGGCTGAAAGAAGTCAAGACATTAGCGAATCAAGGCGGGAGGTGAACGCTTGGATAGGTGAGGCTCAATTTCTATACTTTTCATTTCACAGGAGCACCTGTCGGTGAAGACTGATCTAGTTTCACGTTCCTCAATTCGGCCCTCGGTGACCTTTGCAGCCTCCCCCTCCCCGGATCCCGGCACTGTTGCAGACAACGATGGTGAAGAGGAAGACGACGAAGAAACGAGAATGGATATGAATGACGATGAGGACGACGATGACGACTATGCCATGCAGACGCACATGAACCCTCTACAACTGCTCAACCAGGCTATGGAACATGGGATGCGCTCCACCGCTCGCCAGTACCGTCGTCGAAACCTGGCCGCATACCACCAGCGCAGCGCTGTGGTCGATCCAAACGCAGTCGCAACGACTTCTGGTGCTGAGGTGGAAGGAGAAGGTGGCGCCGGCTTCGGTGCACAGTCGGGAAGAATGAGTGCCGTGTCGGTGCGAAAATCGGTGGGCCCTCTTCGACCACCGCTCTCCAAACAGAATACTGTGGAGGGTGGTGGAGCAGCGCTTGAGGAGGATCCGCTGGCGTTTGCGAAGGTAAGTGGGGAGGCTTTGATAGGTATTTTCTCTGTCTATTTATGTCACATGCGTCTTTCGGGATGTGAGTATTCCACCGCTCCTACTACGATCGCTTTCAACGTCATTGTGATTGAACTTGGTTCGGGTGTGCTTCACACAGTCGGTTCATTTGTGGTATGTATTAAGGCGGTCTACTGGTAAACACCCCTTCCCTCAAACCATTTATTTTTTCGTGTCATCTAAAAAACCAAAAATATAATGTTATACTGTTGATTATATCAGATGACCAGTTAGGAAGACCCTTGGATCTTGGTAATAGAAAGGGGAGCCATGGCGATATTGCTATTTTTGAAGTCCAACATGCCAGGAACAACTTTCAGTACAGTTTAACCTGAGTGATGAAATAAATCATTTGCTCCTCTACCTACCGTTAAAGTCGTGATAGGGGCTACTAAGTAGGTGGATCCCCTATGCCACTTCAAAGACTACCAATTTATCCCCAACTTTACGTTGCATGGATGCGACGTGAATTTTAGATCTTTCACTGGCTGACTGGCTTGTGAGGTAAAATGACTTGCATCTTAACCTTCATTTGGCATGCGGACGATCTGCCCATCCCACACTCATAGATCATGTACCACTCCATCCCCATGGGAATAGCCTTGCTTCGTTTTCATGTGGTGGTTTGTGGACCCAAGTCTCCCTTTGCTAAATGCCAAACCGCATTCTCGGTCAAGATCTATCCACCCGACACGGCACAATTCGAAGGTGTGCATGAAGAGCCTCTCCTTGAGAAACAGCCAGGACCAATGAATCGAATTTCGTCTTTTGTCATTTTCTGGAGCAATTTACAATATCATATTTTGTGCTTTCAGACTGACGAGGGTTATGCCGAGAATGATATCTTTAACCAAACAAACTTGACTCCTTTCACTCCACGAGAAGGCGTATCCTCAGGGGTTCCCATGGCAGAGGGTGGCAGAGTTCCCTCGGACGATTCTATTTCTCAGTGTACGTTTTTCTTGTTATTGGGTCACTAAATTTGTTCTCAGAAGTGACTTGCGCCAGAACCGTTGATATTGCAGTTAGTGGTATATGAGATAACGTCCCGCTTTATTTGGACAATTCGTTAAGGCCTTTTCCACTTTGATTCTGGAAGTCGATACAATGGGGGATTTCTATTGTCGCTATCGAGCTTTTAGACGCATTGCCTTGATATCATTGGATCACCAGCTAATACTCTTCGTAGTGTGCGACTTTCAAACCATTGTAATGATACGGAACCACTTGTGCAATTTCTTATTATTTTCTCCGCTGAAAACCTAGTTGGTAACATGGAACCAACCGGATTGGACTGGAGAATGGTTTCATCCGTATGGGTAAAATCACTGTCAGTAATAAGTACTCAAGTTGACATCGTGGCGCTGAATTTGCTGTGAGTAGTATACATCTGATTTTTGATTTATAAGGAACAGCTTTATCACCCTTATAGGATTAACTCTGAAATCAGTCTTAGTAGTATGCAGTCCTCGGTGACGTGGATAACTACGAGGTACATTGTTAAAAGAACCAAGCGTGTTACATAACTGAATTTCGATACCAAGGTAGATGTAGTGTGCACGGAGGTAGACATTGAAATTGTCGCTTTCCCTGCTCGCAATTTCAGTCAGCCGCATATCAGGAGACGATGTGGAGAATAAGTCGGAGAGCTGTTGGAGCCGCTTCAAGGCGGGCTGCCTGGTAATGCACATCTTCTTCCTCTCCACCATCGAGACGACCACGCGAATGCTCAACTCCATTACTCGCGAGCATCGACGCATTCGCCGCACCATTGATGTGGAGAAACGCAAGGTCAAGCAAAAGGCTCTCTATATCTTCAACCGCAGCTCCATTGATGCAAGGTTAGTTGCTGTTATGAGTTGCACCCCACACTCCCCACGCTTCTTGTTTTATTAGAAACTGGCTCCGAATTTAGCAGCATCATAGCTATCTAAGTTCGTTCTTATGCTCATTTGCATCTCATTGTCTTCACTCTACTAGATCTAGTTTCCCAAATTGCTTCGTGTTTATTAGGAGCTTGAGAGTTGCTGAATTTTCCTCCAGTGACAAATATTCTTAGACGAGGAAAATTGGTCTGTACTTAATTTTTGCTCGAGTCACAACCTCTTTCTTAATGGACTTTCAACATTTTCGATTCAGTTAGATCGAGGCGTTGCTTTGAGACAGCTAGATTAGCCTATCACTGGTTGTTTCACTTATTAAATGCAAGTTGTATATTATCTTATAGAATGGCATTGAATACCGGTTGTTTGACTGCGGTGATATTAAACTATCGCATCGTATAAAAGCAGTGTTACTACCGAACTTCAGCTGTTTGAAATGGCATCAACAATGCACGAAGGTGAATTCAAGTTACTAGTATGGTTGTTGCGTACCGTCCACCTCTGACGCTGAGTTTGCATCCATCGGAAACGCGTGCTTATTGCACATGTGAAAAATATAGCACCGAAATGGATTTAGTTGTATTGCACTGGTCATTCTGTGATACATGCTGCCATGTGCATGGGTGGTACTGAAGTATCATCAGCAACTTTTTTGCCGCTCAACGATGTTAAGTTCATACTCACCAGTTGTACATTGTATCATTCGCATGCGAGTGTGACTGGGCTAGTAGTGGATTAACGTCTGCGTCTACTGGATGCGTCACTGACGCTGAAGTAATAGCAGCAGCATAGTTGCCACGCCTCGGTGCTGCTTCCGCATTTACCAGTAGCATAACCTCCTCTCACCTTTCACCCCGCGTTGGGCGTCTAGAGTGGCGCACCTAATCGAAGTTACGGAGCGAACCAGGCGGCTGAGTCGCTGGCGCCGTCTCTTTGCTCGCATCTCGCGTTCAAGAATTCCGAAAGCAACAATACCATCTCCATCGGTACCCCTGCACGTTGGCCACTTCGAGGATAATAACAGCTCCATTCTGCCCCTTTCTCCTTCTCGTGGAAGCATCAACTCGCTTACCGACCTCTTCTACGATAGAACTCGGTTTGAATCCTAACGCGCCTCCCCTTTTCTGTTTTTCTTTCATTGTTTTTCGTTCCGTTGAAACGCTTGTTTGGTTTTTTGTTCGTTGGTTTGGTTTTGGGTAATAGGAGTCAAATCCGCCTTGGTTTCTTATTCCCCTTTTACTTTTCAATCCACTGAATAGAGTCACACTGGAATCCGTCGTGTTGGACGTAATCTCAGGTAGTACCAGCCCTTCGCGAACCTCCGTTTTGGATCCATCCTTCTACTCCGCCTCCTCGGGATCCGCAGCACGTCGACAACGACCCGATGCAGCTTCTGCATCCACCACTAAAGGACCGCAATCAAGCGTGCCTCGTCCATCTTCCACGTGGGATGCGGAGGAGTACGACGACGAGGCCAGAGCGCCGATGGCTGTTGATGGTAGCGTCGGTACTGATGGTGGTGCATTGTCGAACTGGGAGCAGCGTGAGCGCGAGTTCCGGCGTTCGCGGCCTAGTCTCTTCCTGCTACTCATAGCAGTGGGGAATCTAGTGGTAGTACACTCCGAGTTGGTCTGCTACACCATTCTCATCATCAACCACATGCGCTCCGCAAATGTGCTCTCGTTGGTCTACCCCTTGATGGTCTTCCTCTGGGGCATGCTCTCGGTCCCTAGGCCTACCAAGACCTTCTGGATTAGTCTTATCACCTATACCGAGGTCAGTGCTTACGCATCCTTGCACTTACTTTCCCACTTGCTTAACTACGTAACCATTAAACTGTCCACCCACTTATTCACTTTGCAAAGTACCCTTCTACCTACACTTTTTCTACTTGCTTTCTTATTCAAATACATATCTGCTCGCTCCTCACCCTCCAAACTGTTTATATCCCACATATCAACTCATCCGTCTATCCGCTCGCCTTTTTACCTATCTACCCAACTTTCTAGCCGCTCGCATTCTTACATGTTTTTATCTACTTATCCATCAACTCACCTTTATACATGTCTACTCATCCACCTCGTCAGCTAAAACGCCCGCTTAACTACCCTCTCATCTAACTCCTTGCTTATCAATATATACCTTTCATTCAGATACCTACCTATCAGTTCACTTCCCCACATACTTACTAATTTTCCCATCCACCTACTTATCCATCTGGCCGTATCGGTTACTTAAAAGATTGTATCCACTTTCCTACTAAAGTAGTTTGATTGTGGAGAAAAAAGAGCTGAGAAGTTAGCACTACCCCTTGACAGCCACGAGAGGGAGTGCGTATTGGTAACACAAGTGTCAAATCATCGCACCTTAACAATGACACGACGTGGTTTTTTAGACAGCACAATCTTTTTTTATTCTGTTGCTAATTCTTCCCGGGTTGGGCGCTTGTCTTTGGACTGAGTATTTTTTTACTTGAGGTGCACGACACACCCTTGAAGTTATAAAATATTAGAATCTTTTGGAAATGGAAAGGGGAAGAGGCTGGTTGATTTTTAGGTTTTTTAAATTGCGGAAATGTCCCCTCCTTTCAATGACAAAGCTGCATTAGATTCAATGCCGTACTAGTTCCCGGAAAGCGTCCAAAAATCAACGTTTTTGAGGTTGCAGAAATTTTTATTTAATGCTTGAAATGTTTAATACAAGATACGCACTTAAAGGCTCTACCAAAGGTGCATTGAAATGTTGAGCCTTCATATACAAATATCGTATAAAGTTGTCCAATATGGCTGTTTGGTTATTTTCGAGATTATTAAACACCCCGACTTCTCTGTGTGTTTCAGCTGATCATCATCATCAAGTACATCTTCCAATTTCGATTCATCGAGTTCAACTCCCCGGACCAGGTGTCGGCCACGCTGGCAAAAACGCATTGGCTACCTGTCATCTTTGGCGTCGAGAAAACCGACAGCTACGCCATTTGGGATCTCATTCAGCTGCTCTTCATTTTCTTACATCGCAGTTACCTCAAGAACTATGGTCTCTGGCGTGATGACACAGAATTCAGGCAAGATCTCATTCAGGCCGGCGAGGCCAACAAAGTTAATGTAAGTTTGAGATCGAATTGCCTGAACGTGTGCGCGGTCTGCTTATTTGCCCTCCAGACTCACTGCGTATTGTACCGTCTTAGGTCAAAAAGGACACTCGACAGCAGCAACAAACTAGGGAGGAAGCGATTGTTCCGAGGTCAGTTTCCTTTGTGAAAGAATCGTAAAGAAGTTTTACAAATTATATTTATGCTTTTACCATCTTCTTTAGTCACTCCAAATCATCAAGTTCACAATGCACTTCATCGGCGTCGTTGAATCCAATCACGAAGATGCGTCGTTTCTACCTCAAAATGACCGATCCACGTTACAACCAGAAGGTCGATGTCTATGTGTACATGTTTATATGTGAATTTCTCTCCTTTTGGATCATCATTTTTGGCTACCAATCCTTCGGCCCAAGTGTATGTGCACCGTGGCATATCGTGCTTGCTTATTCAGTAGCCTAGGATTTATCGATGCTCTTCACTTCTCCTTGTAGACTGGAATGGGCGATAATGCCTTCGAGTTCATCAAAACTAATCGCGTGAGAAATTTCGCTAATTTCTTTTTTCTTACTTCAACGTCAATGTGTTTATGATTGGACCATATTTCTTTGTAGATTCCCGGTCCCTTCATTGGGATGATAATAATCCAATCCCTGTTTATTGTGGCTGACAGAGCGCTGTTTTTGAGGAAGCAAGTGTTGGGTAAATTCATCTTTCAAATCCTCCACGTGATCCTTATTCACGTATGGCTTTTCTTCATCTTACCTCAAATTACAATGACGTGAGTACCAGTCAATCAGCTTCTTACACCTCCCTGCGACGCTGGTTTCAGGACTCTCTCTTTCATCCTTCCACAGGCCTTTCAATGTTGGCTCAGCAAGAGCTCTTCTCTACCTGGTAAAGTGCATATACTTCGGTCTTTCCGCCTATCAAATTCGCAGTGGATATCCGCGGCATATTTTGGGGAACTTTTTGACGAAGAATTACAACTACATCAACCTAGTGCTGTTCAAAGCGTAAGCTTGAGCCTCAATTTACGGCTATTTCAGTGTGGTGGTAGCAACTTGCTTCTATGCTACCCCTTGTAGGTACTTGATAATGCCGTTTCTGTACGAGGTTCGCAGTGTAATGGATTGGATGTGGACGGACAGTCCGCTCTCCCTTTACCATTGGATGGAGTTGGAGGACATCTACGCGAAGGTGTTCGTAATGAAGTGCTGGCGACGCTCCGAGATTGAGTATCCCACACCGCTGGGTCGGAAGCGTTCCATTTGTGTCAAGTACATTGTGGGCCTTCTTATCCTCCTCTTCGCGTTTCTTTGCTTCTGGGGACCTCTCGTGGTTGCTTCCTTCATTGACACCACCTACGCCATCAATGTCCCCATTGAGTGCTCGCAAACGCTGGCTATTGGTGGATTCCCTGTGCGTTCAATGGGAAATGTCTTTTAAACCGTTGGCTAAAGACATTTCTAAGCTAATTAAAATTTCACCTAATATGGGCGTTTTCCACATTTTTGAGGCTATTTTGGCAGCCCTTTGTTAAATTGCCTTCTTTTATTCCTGTTTGTAATTAAAGGGCAGTTTTTAAGGCATTTAGAAGTCTGATTTGCGCTGCATTAGCTACATTATTTAACTTTCCTTCTTCAGGCGTTTTAATATTAATTCATATCACTAGTTTCCCTCCTCAATCCATCCCACCTTCGCAAATATGCGTTGCCACGTAACCCGAGCAACGCGAACTTTCTTTACAGGCGTGTTAATACCATAATTGAGTTGTTTTAGGCTCTGTGGAGACTCAAAATGTATTTAATCGCGTTGCCTCAACTTTCTCTCCTGTTGATCAGGCGCTGTACGACTTCACTTCTCGCGAGAACAATCTCCTCCACGTGAACGATTCCTTTTTGTCCGAGATTCGTCAATGCAACGCTTTGGATCAGGTAAGTTGAGTTAAAAATGGAGTATCTACTCATAATTTCTCATGGAAAACGATATTCAAACATGGTTCTGGACATCTATTGGGATCTGCTTTGGGTTGTAGGGAACGACTGGATTCGTGGACAACTTTAAGACAGAGGATGTGAGCAACATGACCTTTGATACGACCTCAGGACGTGTGTGGCCAATCACGCCCCCTTTGTATCGTAAACTCATGTCCGAGCTGGTGAATGAGGACTCTCAGATGACCATAACTTTCCATGTTGTCTGCAGACGGTGAGTCATAAAAAGCGTGCTTTACTTTCTTACTTTATGTCTGTTTTTGGGTCTGATCGGTCGATCTCTTTAGACCGCCCCGTGCTATTGACTCGAGTTCGACCCGCGTGGAACAGTACTTCAACCGTCCATTATCGCGAAAAGAACGGCTGGAGTTTAATGAAGTTCTGAGTGAAAGCCTGACCACTTCTTCTAACATGGCCACTTCAAAATCCGCTCGACTAGAACTAGCTTTTCCACGCTTTCTGTTTGCTCAAAAGGACAATCTTCGAAACGCATCTGGCAATCTCGCGCAATTACACACCTTTGTCAATGTCAGTGCATCGTTGGGGAAGGACAGTCAATCTGAACAACGATGGTGGGTGCTTGAAGAGATTGGGTTAGCTGGCGCGCCCTGTTACGGTACTATCAATAACCTAACCCAAGATGACATGACCTATCACTCGCAATCGCGGAGCTTTTCCATCATCATCTTCAACGAGCGGGTCTCAGACAATCTATTAGGAAAGATTTTTAGCTCCTACGGCATTATTGGTATGTACGCAGCGTACATATTCTTCGCAAGTCGCCTGTTACGCATGATCTACAGTGACATCTCCTACCAAATATCGCTGCAGGAGTTGCCACACGTGGATAGGCTGTTGAATCTCTGCCACGATATTTACCTGGTACGAGAGAATGGGAAGCTTTATCTAGAAGAACAACTGTTCGCCAAATTGATATTCCTCTATCGGTCGTCGGAGACTATGATCAAGTGGACGAGGCATCCGAAATGGCTGATTGATAAGTTTTCCAAGAAACCAGATGAGGAGGAAGAGCGATCATTGGGAGACGAAGGCCGCCGAGCAACCACGATGATGATAATGATGAAAGCCAGCAGACAGCTCCGCCACCATCACAATCATTACCATTGTTACGACAAGAAAACCAAGATGGTGATCGCGGACATCGTAGACAGCGGCCACAGGGACATCGAGGCACATCACCAACGGTGGGAATGAGAAGTGGCACCCCCGGTGTACGGCAACGATTCCCGAATTCGCCGCGCTCAGCGATACGTTGATTTAATCGACGACACTGTTATTGTCGTTGATGTTTTTTGATGATGATGATGATGATGCTTATTTTCGCTATTATTAATGATGATGATCAGAAATTGTGTTTGTGTGCGTGTGTGCGTGAATGTGTATGATTTCCGTGTTTCCACTTCCTCTAGAATGCCATGTAAGTGGAGGCGTCCGCGCACATTTATTGTACTGATCCTATAACAATGCTACCGATGTTATAATTGATTATGTGCATTTCAGGTGTGTGTTATCAGCGTTGTTACAACTGAAAAATGTGGATAATTATATGCAACTCCTATTTTTTTTCTTACGCATTTATCAGATGTACTACTTATAACATCAGTAGATGCATTGCTGCTGCTTAGCTGCCTAGTGAGGGGGGCGGGGGCAGAGATATGCGCGAAAAATGGTTTGTAAGATTATGGAAGATTGAGGTGTATCGAGTCCTTCCTGAAGGTTCAATGGGCCGTAACAACATGATGATTCATTATGTTGGAAGGGGCTGGGGAACCCAGAGAGAGGTGCAAGTGGCCGGGGTTGATTGATGCAGCTAAACGTACGTTGGGTTATATAGACTTGGAAAATTAAGTCAGATCGGCTTGAACTTTGGGGATGTTTGGCTGTGGCTCCCAAGGGTATGTTGGACTCAACAGGAGTTGAGTATAAATGTGGAAGAGTATCAGGGGACTGCGTACACCAAAGAACGGATCGTGCTACCGCCCTGTGGTGTAGTCGTTTAACCACGTCTGCAACTTCCCAGCTCTTCTCTTCATTATCCTTCATACTAGCACGCCGTATTTCCAAAAGGCATGTAGCCGAAAATCGAATCTGCTCCAAGGGGATGACTGTCCGTGAACTTAGTGCTATTGAAAGAGGGCCTCTGTTGCGGGCGACCAAAATTGCGTCGACCCACACAACAGAAACATTCCAACATCTGAGCAGAGGAGGTGCGCAGCATACTAGTATACTAGTAGAGATTACGGTGGACCATCATGCGGCCTAGAGCAGCATGAAGACGTATTTCGCGGTCACTTAATTGATATCTTCCTACAGGTATCCTAGACGGGTCCCTAATAAATTTTACAAGATGGTTCATGGCTGGTGTTGCTTCAGTTGCTAATAACCTCCCTGCAGAACAGGCAACTAGGGTGGTTGCAAAAAGAAAGCTAGGACTTGATTCCTATTCGGATTGCGACATCTCTTTTTGTAAAAAATGATTCGATTTATCTTCATAGCCTTAATTTAAAGGCGCCACCTTCAATCAACAAGGCTTCACGTGACAAATTATTTGTGTTGATCTTGAAAGGTCATGCATATTTCAGTAGTCAATGCATTAAATGTTTTTCCTCACACTTGTGGGTGTATGTGTGCTTTACGGTTCGTTT